ATGCCAGACCACGTTTACCATCGCTCCCGTTTGGAGCCTCGTCTGCACAGTCCATAGGTGAGTTGGCCCGGTCATTAAGTACATTTTTACCTGTGCTGGCCATTATGAAAGGTATCCACACGTGTACGTATCGTAATATGACCAAAGAAAAGTTCCAAAAAACACCACAATTTCAATACTGTGTCACAGTTTTCACAGTTCAGTCTGTTTCCACAGCTTAAAAACGGGCTCACAAAGATTCGGATATTCCAAAAAAACACCGAAGCAGGTACAACTCACCGCCTTACTGGTCAGCCATTCAAAACCGTAATTTTCATTCAACAATTTTAGCACATTTACAGCTGAGTAGACTGGAACAAGCGGATTAAAGTATCTTGCTTAAAGATACAACACAGTGCCGTGCCGTGACTCGAACCCACAACCCTTCGGTCACTATCGTGCTTCTAAAAATGAACCGAGACGTGAATAAAACGTACGCCATTTAAATTATCATTTTGCAAAAATAACGTTTTTTGTTTTTTTCAATATTTTGAATATCTCAACGAAATTTCAATATCAACATAGCTACATGCTTCCTGAAAAGCTATGGATGTTGTTATTACGTTCAATAGAAGTTACCGTTTAAATAACATTCTTAATATGTTGTTGGTCGGTTGTGTTAAGTCCTATCAGCAGCTAAGGTCATTTAAGGCGTGTCCCCATGTGTACAGTGTATGTGTGCATGAGTATGCGTGTTGGAGGTAGGGAATGTTGATGTTCTGTGGCCTTATTTATAGTGCTACTTCACTGAAATACAACGCCGAAAGAACATTCTTGCATGGCAAAGGAAACAGACGTTTTCGAAAGCTCACAAAATACGTTTTCAACTGCTGTTTGTGTTAAAGTATAAGTTAAACTTTGTCTATAAATGCTAATTGAAAGGAGTCTGACTTGCACAACAGATAACAAACAACTGATATTAGAATTTGACAAATTTTGCAAAACATGGTGGGTGCCATCTTGCTGTCTCTGACCACCATTGGGCGCTAGCTTGAGCAGCAGAAGACCTAAAAGCCAGGGAAGTTTGCCCAAATCGATGCAAGGGGCTAATGGGAAAACCCCAATCCGTGCTTGATTGTCAATAGGTCCCTCCGTTGCATAGCCGAAGATGCAGCTAAAAACCGGAGGTCAAGATTAACTTGACTTGTACGCCTCGCATATGTGATGAGACTTGTGACAAGGATAGCCTCAAGTTGGACAGCATCGTAAAATAGCATCGCAGGTGTAACCACGTGCTGGTCGCTAGGTCCCTGAGTTGTATTACCGAATGGTTGATAGATGAGCTTGGGTCATGATATAGATAGACATGAACAGACAGATATCATCAAGCAAAGACTTTGTGCAAGCATCTATATATGTATATTCACACCGATATATGTATGGGTTGGTGACCTAAAGTTAAAATGGGAACACAAATAGCTTATCTAATATATATACCCATGATGGGTGTGTTATATATCAGGCATCAGGTCTCATCAGGTAGGGTGAACTCTTAAATTACACATCTTCTATATTCTAATGTCACAACTCCTTGTATTTGCTGAATTCTATGAAGTGGCCTTGGATGGGTCATGTGGAGGGTGAAGGTAATTTAATATTATGGAAGACACAGACATGAAAGCAGTTCAAGTTCCTGCTTAACCTGCTAATAGGAGACGAACACCAGTAGCAAGTCCGAACGACTCACATAAATCCTAACACAGGATTGAATGGATGAACAGACTAGGTATGGCTTAACAACGGACATATTGTTATCACACAGAGACTTAGAACACAATTTCGTGCACATAAGTAATATTTATTCTCAAAATTCCGATGGGATCTGAAACGAGTCTGCTGGAACCCTCAGCAGTGTGGAGTGCTTATGTTAGAAATCAAACTTAACCAAGACCTTGAAAATATTTCAAACTGGGCAGAGATATGGGGAAAACTGTTTAGTCCTAACAAAACTGAATCATTAATAGTCGGTAAAAAAAACCACATTGCAACTATTTCTCATCTAAACCATATTTTCAATAACACTATCATAAGTAATGTAAAACAACATAAATATATAGGTCTTTTATTTAATGACCTAGTTGGCTAGAGAGACCATATTGACTACATTTATGAAAAATCTTGTAAACGTATAAATCTATTGAGATTGATTACTTAAGCATAAAATTGATAGAAAATCACTTGAGACTATTTAGATAATATCAAAAAGGCTTATACTAGAATATGCGAGTGCTATATGGGACAACTGTACTTCAACAGAGGAACATCTGAATCCCTACAATTAGAAGCAGCAAGAATAATTATAGGTATAAGACGGAGAAGAAGTCACCTTACAATCTATAAAGAAACTGGGTGAGATACTTTAAGGAAAAGAAGAAATGATCAGAATCTAATTATTTTATATAAAATACTACACCATGATGAACCCCAATATTTAATAGATATTCTTCAACCTCTGATCAGAACTCCAGAGGAAAATATATATAATATAAGACAACCAAGGTTAATAAATGAACCACGGGCTAGAACAAACCTTTATCTCAAAAGTTTTTTCTCTGATATTACTTGAGCAATTGAACAATAATAATACCGCTATTTAAAATTCTGTATCCCTAAACCAGCTAAAATCAACTGAAATCAACTCCAGAACCTTTTATTACAGCTGAAGATACGTTTTGAATATGAAGGTAACAGAAATCTGTGTCAATTAAGAAATAATGTCAGTCAGTTAAATGCAGATCTTTATAATGATCATCTAAGAGATAATTCAACTTACCAATGTGGTTATTTAAATGAAGACTATTTTTTAAGATGTCCTTTGTATAATAATGACATGATTGACCTGACCAGATCAATAAATAATATAGATCCACTTCTAAGAGAAAATGTAAATGTTCTTTTATATGGTAGTACTAACCATAATGACAAGGATAATTTGTATATACTAGAATGTACCATGAGATTCATTTCTAATCCTAAACACCTCTAATGTATTAACTTAATTAGTTTAAATTATTATCGAGGTTGATACAAACACATAAAATATGTATAAAATATGGATGTATGTTAAGTAGACATTTGTACTATTTATTGGGAATTGGCTGACCTTTGTATAAACACATGGACTTTGTGGTCAAGCCATTCCATCTACAATTCAAAATCTTTGACCACGCTCAAAATTAGGTAGCAAAGTGTTGATTATACAAGGCACTGGTCCATCTTCATGCCATCTTATATTTACTTTCATATAATATAATAATGCAGAATTAAATAGATATGTAATATATGGGCAATTCTTTTGAGTGAGGGAGGGAGTGTGTGTATATAAGTGAGTGCCAGTTTGAGTAGGAGAATACGTGTGAGTAGTTATATATATTGTTTTCATATAACCTAATACTAAGTTAAGATTTATTCTGTATATTTTGTATATTCTGTTGTGTGGTCGTTTGCTGCCCCCTGCCAGTGTAACCGTTGGTGGTCAGTGTGATATATGGGGACGAGGCCGGTACCTATGTCTACCATGTACCATGCTGGCCATCTGTGGATTCACGGAGGGGGCGGAGACTGACTAGGGCCACTGTATGTGGTTTGGTTGTAGTTGGACGACTGGTTCGCCCGTTGTCAGTATAATGTGACCGGGTGGGGCGTCCTGCTGGGTGTCTTTGGCAGTATGTTTCAGTGAGGTAGCACTATAAAGTCGGCATTAGTTCCGCGCTTTCACAAGGAGACAAACACGAACATATCGCAGCCTCCCAAAATACACACGCTAACACTACACGCATGCATCTTGCACACAGGGGAGGCCGTCCTTAAATGACCTTAGCTGTTAATAGGACGTTAAACAAAATCAAACAAACAAACAAATGTAACCACGGTTTAACAACTTATGTCGCAAGTTCACAATGAAGACTTGACGTGTAAGTGCCAAGCCTTCCACTGAACACAAGGGGTCTTGAGGTAAACATCCATCTAGATGTCCAGCAGACAACGTCCTGATGACTGAGGTCACTGGATTTACTTATTGATGGTCCGAATTAGGTAAATGGTCACCCCGTGTCGAGAAGGATAAGTTGTCGAACCCTTCAGACAAAGTATCAGCAAATAAATGTTAGCTGATACCCGGCCATCAGAAATATACAAGTGTTCGGTTATATCAAATAGACTTGCATCATAGGTGATAACTCTACCGGCAAATGTATGTGGCCAAGTCAACTGAGCAGTTCATGCTTAGTTACCGACTTGCGGTTACGAAATGATTTGATGACTGAAGCGATAGGTAGGAGCTGAAGAATGGAAAGCGTGCTAACGTCTGAGACTAGAACGAAAACCTATAGTTAGTTTGGGATATCAGTAAAATTGTTTGTCCTAGCAAATACCATAAAATGGTTAAAGTTTTGATCTACTGTTAGCTGTGTTTAATGATTTTAATTGTATTTAGGTTGTGTTTCTTGTATTGTCTATGCAAAATAGTTTTATATATGTCCGTGTTTATACACTCAATATATTGTACCAATGAATGTATGTTTAATGATTTGAACTATGATTATGTCGTGATATGTTTCTTGTTATTATAATCATAAGATAATAGATGTTAATATTCATTTTTGTCCTTGTTATATACATTTACAGGTGCACTGTATGAAATGGGTGTCCTACGACACCTCATCCCTCCTATAGGTTTATGTAGTGATCCCTCACTAGCGTGAAGTATCAGAGTTATTTTAGCTCAACGTAGGTTTTTCCAGACTGCTTGAGAATTGAGAGACGTGGTCTTATAAGGTGTATACACACATCCGCATTACACTAGGTAACCGTATTGGTATGTTAGATGTCTGTGTAGGTGTAGGCTACCGTTGGCGGTGTGTAGTGACCATGACGAATGGGTTTTGTGTGTAGGGCTAGTGTACAGATATGTCAATCTTTAGCTGACATAATGGTGTTGGTGTCTATGGAGTCACTGGGGTGGTGCGCGTAGGGTGAGTGGTGCGGCAGAGTGCGCGCAAGGTGTGAGCTGGGAGCGCAGATATGCCTTAACCATCCCTACTTATAGGTTCATACCAATATTTGCCAAAATATTCATTGTTTATATTTTTATTTCAATAGAGTAGTTCCGTCTTATTTAGTCATTTCGAACAGTTCTTTGAACAGCAAATTCAGTCTTGACAACAATGAAATGTATGACGTTACACAAGAGATTGATGACGTTGCAATAACAAATGCTGTTATAGTCTCATAACAACATCTGCCTTTTAAATGCATTGCAATGGAAGGATGCAGAGCAAATGTAAATATAGTACTGTACAACTTTGATTGGCTTCAAATAATATTTAACTATTAGCTGTGGATTACAGGCACATGTCACATGCTAAGTTTGCATCACAGCATATATATATGGAGTACAATATATTTCTAGTCTGTCTTTAGATCCCTTTTTTTCTATAAAGCATATATAAACTGTAATGCCCAATTATTAAATAATATTTTCCATTATACATACATATACCTGACATGTCCCGCGGTTGAAGGATTTGAAATTGTGTACTATAAAGATTTAAATTTCAAATAATTCATATCAATATGGATTGAGTGTCTGTGCTATATATTTAAAAAGGACTGTTTCAAAAAGTTGATTCTCAAGCAAAATTTGTTCTATATCAATAGAATTTTTGTTGTTTAGCTGAAAGGCATTTCCTTGATATTATTATTACATAGAAAAAAAAATGTCAAATACTTCTCCACAAGTTTTTGAGTCTTGAGCCAAAATTTTAAGTGTCAGTAGACTGAACATTTCTCTTGGAATCTGTTTCAAATCTGTGGAGAAAAGTCCAAAGCTAACATTTTGAAAAGGAACTGACAAACAAAACAGTTTTCTTTGAAATACCATCATTTTAATTCCTTTATCATGTAGTGACTCAATTGAATAAAGATGATGAGATTGAATTAATCTAAAACAAATTACCTTGCTATAGCAATATGTTTACATGCAAATTAGCATATTCCCTGATAAAAAAAATGTCTGTAAAATATATTTTATTGTTATGGGTTTTTTTCTTTGACCTAAATTTAACCTGCAGAAGTCAAATTAGTTCAAATGTAAAAATAAACAGTTAATGTTCTGTATTAAAGTTAAATGTTCTCCGTGAATGTTAGATTTGGCAATATATTAGGTAGATTCCAGTATTCTTTATCGCCAGGAATAAATTCACATAGAACATTCTTTTAAAATGGAAGCAATCTAAACATATACTCGTCTCTGTTAAGGAAAGGGGAGGTAAATAATTTGATTGTTTAAGGGGAACACTGAACAGTTGTACATGTCGTGTATCTGTTACCTCAACAAAAACATGAGCACAGACTTAGTTTAGTGAAGGAATGAGCCGCTTGACTACATATTTTAAGACAAGAATATATTTTAACAGGTGCCTTGTTGATCAGAACTGAAACACAAAACCAATAGGTAATATTTGTGTGTCTACAGAAATATAACAAATTGTTTATATATGATGAAAATCAGCTCCTTACCTGTATAACAATGGACGACAACATTACCACAAACACTCGAAGCTGGTGTCCATCCATGGTGTTTAGGGTATGTGTGTTGAATTCCTTTCTGTGTCTAAATATAGCCAATCAATCACGTACCCAGGATTGCTTCGTTTTCTTGTACATTATACGAGTCAAAGGACAAGATATCTACGGGATGTAAACAAAACTACAGGGAAAACTTCTGTCAGTAAGTATATTATGATGGTACGTGATATTTCTGTATTTTATGTGTTTGATATTTCGTTCCGCTATTCAAGGGTAAGCAATGTTCACACACAATCATTAGCCATTGTACATGTAAGTTGTGTGTCATTTTGAAGAAGACGAAAACCAGACATAGAGTCATCGTGACCACCAAGGTAAGTGTCAATATCTAATAATCCTACTATTCTTTGTATACTTTGATATATGTAAACTTATACTGTGCATGCACTGTATATGTAGGCTAGATACGTATGGGCGTTACTCATGCATAACATGTTTACGCGTATGTAGTTCACCCGCTGAGGTGTGTGTACGTGTTATAGTATACGATAACAAATGTAAGGTTCATGACCCCCTTTTGGAAGTTAAAATTTCAAAGTGTCACAAAGTCATTTATATATATATAACATACACATATGATATATGCTGCTAAGTAAACAGAATTCTTACTACATTGTAAGTGTAGTATGACTATCGAGAAATCCACAAAATGTATGAAGTTTTCAATCTGTGAAAGATACAGATAAAATGAAAATATAATATCTATTAAAGTTGATGCTAGACAGAATTAATGTTAATTTAACAAATAATATATTTTTATAGTAAATTCAAAATTCAATTTGGCATTTGCCGAACATGGAAGCCATTTTCAGAGGTTGGGACTACTTTTGTCTAAAAGGTGTGGCGACCCAATAACGCAAACTACAATTATAGTAAAATTTATATCAATGTCAATTTTTACATAAAGATAGTGATTTTAGCCAATTTCATTGCATTTTCATTACCATGCAGGTTACCCACCATGAACTTGCCCTATGAATCCAAACATTTACTCCTTGCAGTAGGATAAGACACTACCACTTAACCATTCGGTGGTGCCTCCATGGTCTGTAATCTACTGATGGTGTATTCTGCAGTCAAAAAACTGTCTACTTCTGCAAAATATTTATTAATACTTACATTGTCAATCAACATCACGGTCATGTAATGTATATATCGAAAGATCTAAACTTTATTTTCTTTTAATTGTATACCTGTTTATCCTGATAATTGCATACTTTTGTTAGAAAATCCTGAACTATGCCTTTATCTTGATTAAGGAGCTATGCAATCTTCTTTTCCTCCTGATTGCATAGCTGATTTGTCCAAAAAAATTATACAGACATATTTTATTTTATATAACAGAAAAATATATTTTACAGGAACAGATGTGTTCTTTGCTGGAATACTGAAAGTAATCACGAATGATTTGTTAAGATTTGTCCAACAAAAGTGTTAATCTTATTTTCAGACTTGGTAAACTCGATAACACATTACCAACACATTGCTTTTTAACAACACTGCACTTCCTTTGAATGAATCCTTATTGCACATCGTACAGCACTCACCATGCGAAAACGCACATATTTACTCAACGTATTGCGTCCTTCGTATATGGACTGTTCTGTTACTAGTTGGGTTGGCAAACCGGTAAAATATTGGTAACCGGTTACTCGAACAATCCGCCGATCGAGTAACCAGCTATTCGGTCAATTTGGTAATCAAAAGATAAACAGCAACTAACACAATATATGTGTAGGAAATGTTGTTTCTAAAACGTTTTTACACCACAAACATACATGTATATATTATTAGCATGATAGCTAACTCGTGTATTTCAACGCAGGAAATAGTTGCATGTTTCCTCAGTAAGTATATTTCATGGACAACAAATGTCGGAATGCAGTAAGACGGGATTCAATGACAGTTATCTATACTCGAAATAATATGAGGTAATATTGCTCTTTAGAACATAATTTGCGTGACAAATGTTCTAATACATGCATGCTCATTCAAGTGTGTACACTTCAGATTATATTTACATCTTGCATGTAAAAGCGCGTTCTTTCTCTTAAAGTTTATATTTCACATCTTTGTATCATAGATTTTGTTTATGGTGTTGGCGACATCTCTTTGTCAGAATTTACAATAGAGTACATAATTAGCACTAAAATGTAATCCCTGAACACTTTTTTTATTACAAAACTATCCGATTTTGGTCGTATCTATAGATATTTTGTAGGGCTAAGCCAGGGAAACATTCGGCATCCAAAAGGGGTTAGTACATGTCCGACTATTCGGTTATTGATTTTCTTCCGACCGAATAACCGGTTAACTGGCTAATCGTTGACAACCCTACATGGTTTGCGCATTCGACTTTTATATAATTTTTTTACCACATATACACTTCCTCCTGATACAGATGAGTCACCATCACCGATAAACTTCGTGTAACGTACAAACGTACACCGCGGACTTTTCCTGCTTGATGTAACCCTTCTAAAATCACATCACCTTCCATTGCATGACTCGCTCCATCCCAATTTTTAAAGCAGTTGTGTTGTGATGTATGGCATCTGCTTGGCTACAGATGTATATTATCAATACTTATTGTGAATTCCAATATAGAGTACACGTTTTGTATAAGCTCCAATGTTAATTTAAAAAAAAACAGTGGATTATAGGAGTATTTGTGAGTTCTCTTACTCCAGCCGCAATCTGTTATGACGGTTGGCACTCCTTCATTGTAGCTGTCCATCTATATTGCATGGTTTCGTTACACTATGCCAGCATCCAGCAAACTCCTCCTCAAACACCTGCTTCCACCATGTACTGATTTCACTTTCAATTTTAGAAAATGTATCTCGTTTTATCCCAGGCAAGTCCATGGTTCCCAACGTCTTATTTAGATGAGCCGAACCTTTGCCAGTTGCCGTGCTTCCCCAAACAGCACGTACATTAATATCATAGTGGCGACTGTTGTCCGTGTTCAACTTTCTACTCGTCACCAGGGAAAAGGACAAACCACATCATTTACAATTGGCAGATATTACTGATGCCAGGCCGTACGCCAATATACCAGAAACAAGTCTAATGAGGGATTGTCCACCAGCAGCCAAATCCAACGCTTTTTCACACTGACATGCATGAATATTAAGATATTGGCGCTTGTCACTCGTGACAAATTTAAATCTCAACCCCTCTTTGCCGCTTCGCGTCATCCGATGATTGTCACTTTTAGTATCAGCATCATTCGACAATGTGTTCACTGCTCTTTTCCTGTTTTTTCACTTTAAAACTTTTCCTCGTGGTTTCATATTGATAAACTGGCTTATCCTTGCTTGGGTTCCACCACTTCCACCTTTCCTTTTATTCATGTGCCAGCCACCGCCTAGGCCAAAGTGATGGCAAACAGTCTCCTCCTTGTTCTTTGGAATTTCACTGAAAATCTTTGCACCTTAACCAAACCTTCAGCCATGTGCTTCCGTACAATTCGAACAGATCTTCAAGTCAAAATACATTTTTTAGACAACAATGAAACATAACCAGAGGGGTAATAATAGCAATAAAATAAAATGAAATATCCTAGCTGAAAGTAGTAAAAACAAGAAAAAGTGTTTTAAATATTTGTTTATCTTTTCTTTAGCCGGATGTTTGGATTTGTTAACCGTTCATCGTATGTCGATTTCACATCAAAAGAGCATTGCAGTGCAAATATAAAACTTACGCTGGATGGTCACAACACGACATTAACATTTATTTTCTAACTTGTAATTATAACTTTGGCGGAGAATTATTACAAAACGACATGAATATATATGCAATTAATTTTAATTAATAATATTTTACCTAATAACTTTTATTTCAACTTTGTAATATAAATATTTTAACAAGCTCGTTAATATCTTCGTACGCATTGCCGTGAAGTACTTATCGACTGTAGACCTCCTAATTTCAAGATTACGAAGAAATTCCAGGATGTTTTGGACTGTGAATTGCAGCGTGTATATTTATGAATCTCTCCCTAAACAATTTACAGCATGTTCATAGTGATTGTTACATCTGTGATGGCATTGTAAGCATAAGTATGAATTTACAATCATCAACAGGTGAAAACAATATGGCGGCGCCCGTGAGATCACGAGTCACTGCGGATAAAATGCTTTTTACTTGAAGTCCCAGTAAAAATAAGTCAGTTTCTGGGTAGGAGTCCCTTCTGTGGTGTCTGTATTTAACATTGATGTAATTGTATATTTTGAAATAGATACGGTTGTTAATTTAGATTTTTTTTGTCATGTGTTTCCTCGACCCCAAATATTGACTTTTATATTCCAATGTTAGTCAACTCATTGAAAATGTTCATTTTTGACCCATTTTATTTCTTTGCCATATAGATTTTCCAAATGTAGTATTCCAACTGTGCCATTCTTAACACAGATTTTACCTAGTGAAAGATCTTCTGTGGCAATAAATTCACTAGGTAAAATATGTGTAAGAATAGCATGAGGGGTCTAGGTGTGCAAGCAGCTATTTTTATCTCGACCGGAAGTCCAAGATGGCCGCCAGAGCCTTATTTTCGGTTTTGGAGACTTTGGGCACTGATTTCGGTAAAAATTGGTACATAAGGATTCTTAGGAATGCCGAACACAATGGTAACAGTTTCGAACAGCTCAGTTGCCATGGTATCGAAATAAAGCCATCTGATTGGTCGAAATTAAGCTGTGGTCTGATTCTGGCATTAATTGGTACATAGGGGTTTTGAGGGATGCAGTTTGGGGAATTTTTGGAACGGCCATCAGTTACAATTATTACTAGCTATTATTATTATTCTTTTAATAACTTCCGCCGTGAACTTGTCCGGGCGTTTTCTCATAGAACACTGGACAGAGCTTAATGAAACTTTGTAAACATATATATGAGTATGGTAAGAGGTTTCCAAGGGGTTTTACATTCCGATCAGATCGTTGCTATAGCAACCACACGGAGGCTTCTACTTGGTCGAAATTTATATATTGTTTGATTTTTATGAAAATTGTTATATATATAGGTGTATTAGGAGACAGCGATCTCACCCGCATAGGTTTCGTTGCCAAAGCAACCACACAGCAACCACATGGAGGCTTCTGATTGGTCGCACTTTAAATATTGTTCGATTTTGATGAAAATTAGTATATAGGGGTATTAGAAGTTTGCGAATTCAATCACATAGGTTTCGTTACCGAAGCAACCACACAGAGTCTTCCGATTGATCGCAATTTAGAAATTGTTCGATTTCACTCAAATTTAGTATATACATTGTACGTGTACTATGTCATTGCGATCCTTTACTGATGCATCTTATTATTCCTGTTCCGCCGTAAATATTTCCGACATATTTCTCAAAAACTATTGAACAGATATTAACGGAATTTTACACAAGTGTTCATCATGGTAAGGGGCGTGCAAAAGACCTTTCATTTTCCGATCGGTCAACCAAGATTGCCGCCACGGCCTCTGATTTGTCGAAATAAAATATTAGTAGATTTTGCTCATGTTTTGAATGTAGGTGTATTTTTGCACTGCGATTATAACTGCGGGGGTTTGGGGGATTTCTGTAATGGTCCACATTACAATTAGTACTTGTTATAAATAGTTTTTTTATAGCATCATGGTATTTTTTCTGTGTATACCAAATATCATTTTATTGTTTGAGCATTTTAGATGAAATGTGTTAGTTTTAGAAGTTGTACGCACAAGTAAATCATTATTATTTTTCGTGTACATCGGCACTTTACACATGTCTGGTGCTAGCTTGGAGTTATGGTCTAAGGTGAACTGGGGGTATGACCACCAACTAGACATTGTTTCACATTGATATTACACTCGCCAGACTGCCTACAACGCTGGTGGGCCAGCAAGCACGTAGGGGTCGAAGTGACACAGCTTATGTCATAACTCGTCATCAGTAGATGATATTGGGTAGAAATAAGGGACCTGTAATGTTCAGTTTCCCATGGTATTGACGTCATTGAGACTCCAATTGTTTTTAACTTGGACCAGACGGGAACAGACATTCATTGCAGTACATCAGGGAGATACATATATTGTAGTGCATCGACAGTGCTTAAAACTGCCTACCGATGCTCATTTATGCTTCAACTGCCTGTACATTTTGGAATTTATAGATGTGCATGCAATATGTATAATAATGTATTCACGAGAAATATGAAGTAAAGAGACATGTAGTTAAAAATTGAGAAAATCGATACAGAACACTAATTAAACTTGACATTTGTACTGCACCACATTGTCATTTCATCCATTAAGAAACAATTAGTATGGCAAGGATCCTATAAAACCGATAATATCGTTATATATGTTCAACTTCGGTGACGCATTGAGTTTATAATACTGTCAGGAAGATTGGTATTTTTCAAACAAACCAACACTCACTTGAATCACACTATATCAAAATGGTGATCAATACAAATTTTGTACTTTCTCTCGATAAACTTTGGTACTATTGTTCTAATGTGAATTGGTATGAACTTGACAACATTGCCGACTTTCTTATAATGTCATGCGCTTTTGTTTTCCAGAGCAATGTCTGGTGACGAAATCGTTCCATTATTACCCGAAGTAAACATTGAACCTGCAAACAATGTTTGTCAACAAAGAACAATAAGGCCTCAGAGAAGTTTACCGCCCGGGAAAACGTACCATATCTTCATATCTTACTCGTCGCACGATGAGTCCTATGTACTGCGTCTGAAAAACGTTTTGGAAGGATTGGGTTTCAAGTGAGTATTTACAATGTACATGTACATGAATTTTAAGTAAACGTAATCTGATCCTGCAGGTATGGCGTAAGAATTGTACCTGCTGTCCCAATTGCATGATCGTAAGAGGCGACTAAATTTGGGACCTTATCTCTTCTCTCCTTTCTAAATAACTTTCTTCTTCCTAATGTCTCCCTTGACAATGCCTCACTTTTGGCCATTTGTTGAGCGTTCGCCCCTGTGAGGAAGGCTTTGAGTTCTGTCCCCTGGCCGAGACATACCAAAGTCTTTTAAAATGGTAGTTTCTACTCCTGCTTAACGCTCAGCAAATTAGGAGTGGAACGACTGGTTCACCCGTTGTCAGTATAATGTGACCGGGTGGGGCGTCTGCTTGGTGTCTTCGGCAGTATATTTCAGTGAGGTAGCACTATAAAGTCGGCATCAGTTCCGCGCTATCACAAGGAGACAAACACGAACATATCGCAGCCTCCCAAAATACACACACATACACTACACGCATGCATCTTGCACACAGGGAAGGCCGTCCTTAAATAACCTTAGCTGTTAATAGGACGTTAAACAAAATCAAACAAACAAAGTACACGTAATCAAATGTAAATATGATTTAATCCTGCTATATTAATGATTACGCAAAATTAAATAAGCTGCGAATATGTTACCGTGAATTAAAATATCCTTAAGTATACACAACCACCCGTTTGCTGTCGAAACATGGAGACCCTGCAAGGGCCAATTACAAAAATCAATCAATTTCGTTTATTTATTGGTACAAACTCGAACGTTAGAATTCAACGTTATTATCTCGCAATTTCGAGTAATTAAGTCGAAATTTCAAGTTATAAACAAGAGAATTATTTGTCTTTACTGGCCCTACTCCCTTCCGTATGCCATATATTTAAAAATAAATCACATCCCGATGAACTGGTTATATTGTAGGGTTAACACAGCTCATCTGTTTTGTACACTGTAACGTGCTTTTGTAACTTACGGGTGTACATATACGGATCTACCGCCATCGAGTTTTGGGGTTGTGTTAGATTTTAATTCAGCATATCTATTGATAAATTGTTATAGTCAAATGGATTGAATAACAGGCTCAGGCTAAATAAATTCTTTCATGATTGGCCAAAACATTGCTCCAACATATTATCACAGTATTTATTCATTGAGATTAAATTAACTTTGAAATGAAAAATAATATACAACAGTAACGTTGTGATAAAGCAAGGGAGGTAACTCCAATATAGAAACATATGGGGATGCTATCATACTACAACACTTTTACTCTCTTTTCTTCCATGTATATATGGCACTCAACAGAGCATAAAAGGAGGACTTGACCAAATGTCTACGAGCATACTATGTATATATGCATGCAAAACAAGTTGGATTTTACAAAAATAATAGTATTTTATGTATATAGAGAAAGACTAACAACCAAACCTGACTACCTTCTCATCTATTGTAAGGCATCTTTCTTTAAACGAAATAGAAGTAAATAAAAGAAACATTTTCCCTTTTTTTATTTATCAGGGCTTTCTATATCGTATATAAATTGAAACGTTAAGTTTTTCGGATAAAAACCTGAACATGACCTAATATCAGTATCTTCTTGTATTCGAATCGAGATCAGGGTAACATTGCAAAAAAAGTGGGATGCATGTCTAGATAAAAGATAACAGTGCGCCTTACGTTTAAAAACAAATTGCCAAAAGTACCCCCCCCCCCCCCCCCTTCCCTCTCAATTCGACCCCTATTTCCTGAGATTTGGTTAAGATACTTATAAAAACTATTCCGTATTCATGCACAAAATAGAGAGAATCGTTGACATAATTAAGCCGATATATAACAGTGACCTACTATGTGCTATTTGTTTTTGGCCATTTTTATTATTTGTTGACTTACTGTTATACAATACGTCACATTTTTGAAGAAACCTTGAAAAATAAAACATTTAAATTTGTCAAAAAGATGCCATTTGTGATGTTGGTCTTCCAATTGAACCCCGTTCTCTAAGCTGACCTCAATTTCATGTCATATATTGACGTCATAATTCCAAGGTATGTTTATACAAAAAAGTTAAACTTATCGGTGATAGCCACCGGAAGGCTCAAATTAGCACCCTCCTTTATATACAATATACTGCCCATTCACTGATATTAACAAGGCCATTTGTGAGAGCTAGGGCTGCCTGTGCTGCTGGATTTCTGTCAGTATTTAAATACAAAGAATTGTAATCTGCAAAAAGCTTAATGTTAGTAGAAAGACTAACAGTAAAACAATGTATCATTAATGGAAAGAAGAAACATAACTGGGTCAGGAATAGACCCCTGGGGTACCCAAGCAATTATAACTCTAAACCGGGAATAATACCATTCAGTGCTAATTCTTTGCTATCTATCTGCTAAATAACTGTCAACCGCTTTACAGAAATCACACAATATAAATCTATTTTTCCCCCTGGTCAATATTGCTAAATATTTCATTATATATAATAAGCAAGAGTCCTCCAAAAAAATAAAGTTATTGCAAAGTACCCTATCAAGTGTGAGGTAAAACTACTGTAAGTTGTAAGCCCATTACCATGGTCCATATTGATAAATATTTCATCATATATAAACAATCCTCAAATAACTGTTGAATCACCAGATATAAAGCCGGACTTGTGCTTGGTTATACGTAATAGATTCCTCAATAAAACAAAAGTTTTTAATGATTTTGCTAAAACATAAAGTTATTGTAATGTACTGTATCAAGTAGTAGATGCAATTATAATACGTTACCTCATCAAGTGTGAAGTATGGGCTACATTTATTTTTATTTTATCAAGTGTGAGGTATATTCTACATTCGTAATTTTATCAAGTGTAAGATATAATCTTCGTTCTTTATATTATCAAGTGTGAGGTATATTCTACATTCGTTATCTTATCAAGTGTGAGGTATAATCTTCACTCTTCATCTTATCAAGTATGAGGTATAATCATCATTCTTCATCCTATCAAGTGTGAGGTATAATCTTCATTCTTTATCTTATCAAGTGTGAGATATAATCTACATTCGTTATCTTATCAAGTGTGAGGTACAATCTACATTCGTTATCTTATCAAGTGTGGGGTATAATCTTCATCCTTTATCTTATCAAGTGTAAGGTATAATCTACATTTGTTATCTTATCAAATGGGAGGTATAATCTTCATTTTTCATCCTATCAAGTGTGAGGTATAATCTACATTTGTTATCTTAGCATGTGTGAATTTTAATCTTAAAACGTATTTTAGCTATTGTGATATTTGATATTAATGCATTATCTTATGAAGTGTAAGATATAATCCAAAATTATACCTTATAAAGTAGAAGAAAATCAAGTATTTGTGTCGACTTTTTGTACATGGTATGCGTTAATAGTAATCAAAGGTATACTATGAATAATTTGTATTTTTCAGATGTATGTTGGCCGAACATGACTTTTCCTATGGGGTTTCCGTTATGCGGAACATCGAGACAACCATTCAGACATGTCACAAACTGCTCCTCGTGGTATCGCAGCATTTTTTACAGAGTGCCATGTGTGATAAGGAGGTGGATATGGCACACAAGTACGCCGCTGATATCGGCCGAAATGATTTCATGATAGTTCTACGATTGGATGAGTCTAAAATGCCTCTAAAGCTGGATTATATGACCTATATAAACGGTGCGGAACTGGAGGTCAAGGACGTTGGACGTAAAGTGGAAAAGGCATTTGATGGTTTTGGTAATAAACAACCATTTCATTAATCTCGTTTCAGCTAATGAAACTTACATTAAATGTAACCATCAATCTTGTCACACCTAATCCCGGTAATAAATAGCCAGCATTTAATATTGTAAAAGCTGAACTTGGTAATGCATAACCATATTTTAATCTTATGACAGCTAATTTAGGTAACATATAACCATCATTTAACCTTGTAACAGCTTATCTCGGTATCATAAAAACCATCATTGAATCATATCAGCTATTTCTGTAATATTGAACAATTATTTAACCTCGTTACAGCTAATCTCGGTAACATAAAACCATCATTCAATCTGATAACAGCTAATCTCGGTGATATAAAATCATCATTTAATCTGATACCAGCTGATTTTGGTAATACCTTTCCATATGTCAATCTAGTAATAGCTATATAAAACAAATATTTAATCTCGTTACAGCTTATCTCTGTTATATAAAACAAATATTTAATCTCTTAACAGCTAATCTCGGTTAAATAAAACCCTCATTTAAACTCTTAACAGCTAATCTCGGTTATATAAAACCCTCATGCAATCTCGTAACAGCTAATCTCGGTAAAATAAAACAATCATTTAATCAGTTACAGCTAATCTCGGTAAAATAAAACAATCATTTAATCAGTTTCAGCCAATCTCGGTAAAATAAAACAATCATCTAATCTGGTAACAGTTTATCTCCGAAATGAGTAACCATCATTAATTTGGTAACAGTTAATCTTGGTAATATGTAAACATCATTAATTTGAAACAGCTAACCTAAGGAATAAGTTACAATCACTAATCTGGAAACAGCTTGTCTAAGTAATATATAACCATCATTAATATGGTAACAGCTAATAAAAATGATATGTAACCATCGTTTAACTGGTAACCGTTCATCTCGGTAATATGTAACCCTCCTCCTTTAATCTGGTAACAGCTATTCTCGGTAATACGACAACATCGTTAATTTGGTGACAGCTAATCTCGGTAATATGTGACCATCATTAATCTTGTAACAGCTCATCTCGGAAATATGTACCCATGCAACGTTTACCTGGTAAAAGCTCATTTCGGTAATATGTAATCATCATTTAACCTGTTAACAGCTATTCTCGATAATATGACAACAGCCTTTATTTGGTAACAGCTAATCTCGGTATTATGTATCCATCATTAATCTGGTCACAGCTCATCTCGATAATATGACAACATCATTAATATTAATCTGGTAATAGTTAATCTTGGTAATATGTAACAATCATTTATCTGGTAACAGTTCATCTGGTAATATAAAAACATCATTAATCTGGTAACAGTTTATCTGGTAATATATAAAAACATCATTAATCTGGTAACAGTTCATCTGGTTATATAAAAACATCATTAATCTGGTAACAGTTCATCTGGTAATATAAAAACATCATTTATCTGGTAACAGTTCATCTGGTGATATAAAAACATCATTAATCTGGTAACAGTTCATCTGGTAATATATAAAAACATCATTAATCTGGTAACAGTTCATCTGGTTATATAAAAACATCAATAATCTGGTAACAGGTCATCTGGTAATATAAAAACATCATTAATCTGGTAACAGTTCATCTGGTAATATAAAAACATCATTAATCTGGTTATAGCTAGTCTCGATACCATGTAACTATCATGAATCTGGTAACAGTTCATGTTGGTAATATGTAACCATCATTTAATCTGGTTATAGCTAATCTCGGTAATACGTAACCATCATGAATCTGGTAATAGTTAGTCTCGGTAATATGTAACCCTCATTCGTCTGGTAACAGCCTGTTTAAGTAATATGTAACCATCGTTAATCTGTTAACAGCTATTCTCGGTAATATGACAACAGCATTTATTTGGTAACAGCTAATCTCGGTATTATGTAGCCATCAATAATTTGGTAACAGCTAATCTAAGTAATATGTAACCCTCATTCATCCGGCAACAGCTCATCTAAGTAATATATAAACCCTCATTCATCTGGTAACAGCTAATCTAAGTAATATGTAACCATCATTTATCTGGTAACAGCTCATCTCGATAAAAGAAAAACATCATCTAATCTGTTAACAGCTATTCTCGGTAATATGACAACATCATTAATCTGATAACCGGTTATCTCGGTAATATGTATCCATCATTTATCTGGTAACAGTTAATCTCGGTAATATGTAACCACCAATTTAGCTACATAAATAATATAATAAATATAATTATTTATTGATTATTAAATTATCCAAACTTCTTGGATGGAAGAACGGACGGAAAGACGGACGGACGGAGTGCAAACCTCCCCCCCCCCCCCCAGTGGGGGACTAATAACCATCATGTAAAGGATGTTACTGCTCCTCTTCCATGGAGTAGACAAGTAGGTTGAGAATTTTGAAAAGGAATTTGTTTTCTTCACTGCTTATCGGCGTGCTTTTTATTTTAATTTTAGCTGATGTTCCACTCCCACCGAATATAAATGGCCAAGAGATCATACGGTGCCAACCGACAGAAACATCACATAGACTTTGGTGCAGCTCAAGCTATGAATTTGGTGACTTATCTCAATATGAAAGGAATATGTTGTTAGCATGGTCAGTGGAGGTATGGTCAAACAATTCTTATATAATTTCAAGAATAATTTATACACGTAACAGTTCTGAAAATATAAATTGTTTTTCATCATTTCTTATCAATAAATATAACTAAAACGTAGTTGAATTAATATATTTTCTCCAATATATAGTTTCATACTTGGGTACTTAGAGACCTCTTTCTTACGTATTTCTAGCAGTTTTTGTGTCCTGTTACAGGAGTCCCAAACATGTTACCGAGAGATTGTGGAGGACGCCAATGACCACTTCCTTCTTAAACGATACGCTGTTTTTGCTTTTGATCGCAAATCCTTATGTTTTTGGGTGCTTTTGGCTTTGGGCATTGTCACATTGTCCGCTTCATTGTATTTTTTGATAACGAAACTGAACGGAACAGACACCTTCCTCAACGACCTGCTTATAATTTTCATTTGTTCGATTAGTTTCACCACAGGTCTCTATACAGGATGTACGGTGTACCTTTTCCATCAGGTATGTATATCTGACATTATATATGTAATGCTCGTTTAAAAAAAATCTAAAACTTTGAGGTAAGGTCAATAGATGTTTTCTTCACATTCCTCCTTCTCATTAATTATCCAGACTTCTGTCAGGTAATTTTGCTTGCGTTGCTAATTATTTTTCCGTTGTTGTGTTGATGTTATATATAAACTGAATCTATGATATGGTCTTTGATATAGAAAAACACAATTGGTCTGTTGCCTTTAACCTAACATTGTAATACTTTATAAATAAATAAATGTACACTTCCTGCCAACTTCAAATACACAACGTAATACAAGAGTTTTTTTTTACTATGCATATGTGCTTCCCTTTTCCTTAAAAATGTGTTCATCCTTATTTAAGGTCTGGAATATGGAAATCGTAAACAGACCCTGAAGTTATAATGCAGGGGCAAAATACATGTAAAATATGTAATATTTGCTTTTCGATTGCTTTAATGTTCTATACTGTCTTTGATTTAGTTTGCCTTGAAACCAACCTATGACCATCCCTGTCGATGCTTACAATTGTTTTTTCCTGTCCTTTAATTAGATTTGGTCGTTATTAAAATAACTGTGCCAAATACTTTTGTTTTCCATTTCAGATGATGAGAAGACTCTATTCCATTGTGCGGAAGAATACAGATTGCAAATCACAAAATTACATCGTTATTCCCAGACAGCACAGGAACGCCCTTTTCGTATCTTTTACTTGTTATGCAAAGAACTAGATCACGTGATACGTCAGATATAATACGTCACAACACAATACAACTCCAGCACACACACAGGCATACAAACATGGGGAGATACTAGCCAGAGGGCATAAGACTGGCAGTTCCTGCGAATTCCTCAAACATGGTATTGATTCACTAATTATAAATTTTAAATAGAGTGGCTAATTCTAGCTAGATAGGGCGCTATATCAAATATTATATATTATTATTGTCATTATTATTTTTATTAATATATGAATAGAACATATTTTTTTAACTGATCAGTTTGTGTATAACGAAAGGTAAATAAATGTGGAAAAGATGGGCCTTAAATAAAAGTAAAACTCAGTTTTGTAAAGAAAGTTAATCAGTCTCTGCCTATCTAATCCGTATCAAGATATCACGATGAGTTGACTTAACCTCCAATGTAAATGATAAAATATTTTGTAAATCCCCATACAAAGTAAGTATTTGTAGCTGTACCAGGAATTTATCAATAGTCTGACATATATGCCTTGACAAATTAAGATTTCCTTCATTTATTACGACATGAAACGATGCTGGGTAAGTACTGTTTATTATTATTTCGAATAGCTAACGATTCCTTATTTTCAAGCAGATAATAGGTATGATAATATGACTTGTTTCTGGTAGAGTAGGTAGCGAAGGCGGATGCATAGGCTGTGTAAATCATTCATATGTCACTAAAATTTCGTAAGAGTACAGCTGCGACTTTTGGAGAAAAAAATATGCAGTGTTCATGTTCAATGAAACTTCTTTTAGGAAAATATCAGACATACACTTGAGCAAGTCTACAGTACCTGATGACTATTGCAGGATTCCCAGAGTTCTAAATGACGTCAGGGAAACAATTGATTAATATAGGCAGCCAATGGGTAGTGTTGTAGAGGAAGGTATTCCTTACTTCGCGGAAATCTTATAGTCGTTGAAAGGGGCTATTTAGTCAAATGGCAAACCTGAAAATCGTGTCGATACTGTAAACCTGTATGTCATACGAAAATGTACGTAGTTGATAATGACGTGACCTGAAGCCAATGTCCAGTGTGGTCAGTTTCATCTTTTGGGAAAGCAGATAAGAAAAATAGCTACGACCGAAAGAGCGCAATATCAGCCTTTCAGCGAGCAGTAAACATTACAGCACTACGCTGTCGACAGACAACACAGTGTCAGTTACTATACATAACGCATTCTTGAATGTACACAATACATCACAAGCAAAAGTTTTATAACATATATGTCTTATCAGATATTTCTGTTCACATTTGGATTTAAATAAAAACGAACATGTTTAATTTGAACATGCACGCAGTGAGAGGGTACCGCTAGGAGAATATCAAAACGCAGAAAGTACGATATCAAAGGGTTTAAACGTAATATAGACTACCCATTTATAACGATGTTTGAGATGTTAAATGCCAAAGAGGCTAGCTGAATAAAGCGAGTTTACCTTCACTCCTCGGCTGGAAAGAGGAAAGCCAATTTTGTTAGCTAGACAGTCACTGACAGCTGCTGCTTAAACGTACCGTTGGACAGTTAATGATTTTTATATTGCTGATTAAAAACACCAAGAAAACATTGCTTCTTGTAACTTTCTTAACATGAATTGTTCATAAGGAGTATCAAACAATATGATCATGAAGTATTTTGTGACAAGATTATAAAATATATTTCTTCACTAAATTGTCCCTTATAACTATCACTAATTTACATCGCGATGATAAATGAAAGCTGACATTTTGTCTATATCGGTTCGGTTTACCATGCTGAAGAATGTCTGATGGTGTCCACCGCAAAATAAATGTAGATTATCCATACTTTCAAGATTAAGATTGTGTAGTAATTTACGTCGTATTACCAACATGTATAAGGTTTACTCAAGATAAGAGACACGAACAAACATGGATTGAGAGAAACGATGAGTGCTGTCTGAATGTTTGTTTCTTAGCGGAAAGAGTGTGTTATTTTCCGAAACGTTGTTACATCGTTGTGTTTCCATTAAAGTAAGGTATACGTTAGTATTTTCTCTACGGCTTTGAAAATGATTTTGTACATATAAATTCAGGAAAACGAAGCGAGGTAACAGGAAAAAAAGTAACTCGCTTTGCTTTTGTACACGTTCATCATTTCACGACTGTGTAATCAGGAGTTTACCTCGCTGCGCTTGATACACTTACAATTCCCTCCCTTACATACTTACAATTAATGGAATTATATTGTCGCATCACTAATAATATGTCTTCATTTAAAACTGAAATCCGTCTCTGATTTAGAATTATCTGAAACAAAGAGCACGAGAAAATTGGCCGGATGATTCCGAAGAGGACATTGCTGTGAGTATATTGTGTAACATTTCACATGCGTCCGTCACCAATTTACTTAGCACTGTAATAGGAAATAAAACACGTTCAAGACGAATTTAACTCATTCATCCGTATATATATTTAAACTGGACTTTGATTTTGGTAATGTTCACATGTTACTTTAGGGATGAATGGCATAAACATTTGATAAAAGGAGCAAAATGTCCAATATGTCTTCGTTAAAAGTGTTCAATTTAATGATTTTTTGAGATGATGTTTATCACAATTATTTCCCTATAATATTATCCTAGTACAAGATAATATTGTGTTGCCTTGGCAGCACTTTCAAACGTTTTCATGAACTCTTCTGAAAATTCCTAAAAAAAAACAATTAAGACTAAATAAACATGTTGCATGCTATGCTATTCCTATAGGTAAATATAGAAAGGCACGATAATATTTATTTTTATTTTCGGCTTTTATTTTAAAGAATAAATGCAATGAGGAATTGGTCACGACAATCCTTGGCTCGTTTAAGGGATCAGACTGGAATCCAATACCACAGGCAGCGTCCATCCGGCACAATACTTACCAGAATAGGTGTTGCCTGTGTATGGTCGCAAAGTCGTCATGGACATATAGAAAGTCAGCATTAAATGTCACACTAGATCAAGTAAGTTGTAAACTAACTTAAGGATCGCGGTTCCACTACGTAAACTGTAACTTAGATATCTATTGGATACCATTTTTTATTCGGCATGACTATAGCTTTGATCAATCATTTCTGTAAAGAAACTATATCTTGCAGGACTTTTATGGGAAACAGTTAAGATAAAAACAGGAGTGTTCTTATTGTAAAAGGTTCGACGGGACTAGACCATCATTCGAACCCTGAACTTCAGATTGGTATACTTTCACTGAAACTGATTGAGCTATCTGGTCGACGGAGGAATATTAGCCCAACTGAAACGTATTGTTATCGTATATAGGAAAACACGGCAGTGCAGTGTTATATATAAGTACTATGTAGACCGCATAGGTCATTTATACTAACTTGAGAGTCAGACCAGATCAGTTGTTTACTTACTGCAAATGCCGACCAGTTCAGTTGTGACGTGAAGATGTTGATCCTGACGTAAAACCTTTGCGTTTCCTTTTCATTTGAGTGAAAATACAAACAATTTACAAAAATAAAACAAGACAATCAGTCGTTAGTGTATTGTGTAAGTATTATCAGATTTATTAAAATATCCCAATTGAATAATATTTCTTTGTTTACGATTTGTAGGGTATAGAGAACAATCAAGATGAAGAAACTTGTGTCATGAAAATTGCAGAAAGCGAAACAGAACATGAAACTTTTGTCAAAAATACATTTGAAATTGATCATGAACATTTTGAATCGACAGAGGAAAACGACGAAACCAGCGTTAAGAAAATAGTATGCAATAGACAAGAGAGTAATTCTTCTGACTCACATGTTGCCGGAGCAGTGAGTGGTTCACCTCGAACTGAAGCTGGAAGTGGTTTTCTTTTGACAGGAGCAGAGTTCGGTAAATCATCTCTGAGAGGAGCAAAAGGCGATACATCTCTGAGAGGAGCAGAATGCGGTACATCTCTGAGAGGAGCAGAAGGCGATACGTCTCTGAGAAGAGCAGAAGGCGGTACATCTCTGAGAAGAGCAGAAGGCGATACATCTCTGAGAAGAGCAGAATGCGGTACATCTCTGAGAGGAGCAGAAGGCGATACATCTCTGAGAAGAGCAGAAGGCGGTACATCTCTGAGAAGAGCAGAAGGCGATACGTCTCTGAGAAGTGCAGAAGGCGGTACATCTCTGAGAAGCGCAGAAGGCGATACGTCTCTGAGAAGTGCAGAAGGCGGTACATCTCTGAGAAGCGCAGAAGGCGATACGTCTCTGAGAAGTGCAGAAGGCGGTACATCTCTGAGAAGAGCAAAAGGCGATACATCTCTGAGAGGAGCAGAAGGCGGTACATCTCTGAGAAGCGCAGAAGGCGATACGTCTCTGAGAAGTGCAGAAGGCGGTACATCTCTGAGAAGAGCATAAGGCGATACGTCTCTGAGAAGAGCAGAAGGCGATACGTCTCTGAGAAGAGCAGAATGCGGTACATCTCTGAGAGGAGCAGAAGGCGATACATCTCTGAGAAGAGCAGAAGGCGGTACATCTCTGAGAAGATTAGAAGGCGATACATCTCTGAGAGGAGCAGAATGCGGTACATCTCTGAGAGGAGCAGAAGGCGATACGTCTCTGAGAGGAGCAGTAGGTGGTACATCTCTGAGAAGAGCAGAAGGCGATACATCTCTGAGAGGAGCAGAATGCGGTAAATCTCTGAGAGGAGCAGAAGGCGATACGTCTCTGAGAGGAGCAGAAGGCGGTACATCTCTGAGAGGAGCAGAAGGCGGTACATCTCTGAGAGGAGCAGTAGGTGGTACATCTCTGACCGAAGCTGTAGGTGGATCATCGTTAGATTCGAACATTGACCGATGGTACGGAAACATGTGTGAAACTCGCGTGCGGGGGGAAGCTACATCTAAACAACAACCACAAGTGTCACACGAGCTGATTACTTGGAGGGGAAATCCAGTGAATTTGACTGATTCTGAAATATCTACCTCATTAAATGATCGTGAGGAGGCTGTTCCTCCACAGTCAGGGGACGAAGAACTGCAATGGTATCGTGGAGAACATGTTATCGACGAGGCGATACATGCAAAAGTACCAAGATAATAACAAACAAAAGACTTACAATGAAACATACCAGATATTTGTAAAAATAATACGATATTGCAGTTGATTCGTCCTCTATCTGGTGTCAAACAAGTACGTGTTAGATCATAAACGTGACAAAGGTACCGGCCCATTACGAAACATTATGTTATTACGATAGTACTAGCATATAAAAAGTACATGTATATATCATAGGTTTTATTCTTTTCAGTGTGAAACAATGACTCCTGATATTTTTCTAGTTTGCTGATCGCCAGCTTCTTTATTCGACAGTGTGTGGGGATTTGGGGATTTTTTCTACCCATATACAAGCTTCAATTTTACAAACAATAAAAAAGGTCCTGAACTATCTTTGTATTATAATTGTATTTACACTGGACATATCCTGAAATATCTTTGTATTATCATTGTATTTACATTGGACATATCCTGAACTATCTTTGTATTATCATTGTATTTATATTTGACATATCCTGACTTATGATGAATCTAACAGGGCTAAGCTCACAAATCAAGCTACATCACTTCAAACGAGAACCTGTATTGGACAGTGTAATGGTAAAATCATACAAGCTTTGCATGGTCTTTTTAATTCAGTCAGCCTTTGTGGCTTTGTACTTAGTTCTGGTATATTCAATGAAAATAAATGTCATCATTCTGGACATTTGAAGCATTTTTCACAGTTTTCTCTATAATGGTCCATACAGGGTTACCGCAGGAGTACATGTACAGGTACAGTTTATTATCATTTCATTATTTGTAATAATTAAGACTACACTATACTGAATGTTTGTACATTGTAATGACAATTTACTGTATAAACGAATAAAACAAAACAAAACAAAACAAAATTCTGTTAAGGAGCGGCGTTACACCATAATGTAAATGGACGTATAAAAGTGAGGATTTTTTTTATGTTAATACGTACTTTAATTTTATATTATTTTATATTGTACTTGAACCGCGAAAATGCACGGCCAGACGGGGTTTGGAACGCGGGACACTCCGACCTCCAAACAGTTATTCATTATTTATGTATATTTACATTCTTGATGTTTGCTATGTACATGAACCTACCAACTGAAAACAACTGCCATTAAACTATGAATACACTATGAATACAACGATTTTTGTGCAACCAGTCAGCTGATTTCACACACAATGACAAATCATATAACTACGCATAGTACCGTTTCTGAGAAGAGTTATCTCCCCTTCTCCGAGATAACGTAGTTGCGAGATATAATAAACCATAAATGATCCACCATTGTAATATTATTATTGTTGTTATTTATTTTTCTATTAATTTGAAAAATTAAAAACAAAAATACTTCCATAATATTGTCATATTTGATACTGACTTCCGACTCTCAATCGTTTCCTCGTGGTCTCGAACTCTCTAACACCCAAACGTCCGGCTGGGTATTCCCAGTGACATCAACTTGCACATTAAATCAAAAGAACTTTGTAATGACACCGGGCACTTCATCCATCAACTTATCATTTACATCTGCATGTTTTTTGGCAAGCAGCATAGTCAACGGCTGTACATTTAACTTCAAATGAGCTCTATGCCTAATGCTGACTGGTGTCTTGGATAGTTACTATGGTGACCGATAATTTGAAATAGTACCGCAGACATAAACTTTTTTAAATACATGTATATGATATGCGGTTTTTAATGCAAAAAAAACCATCAAATAAGATAAATTTTCAAATATGAAAGGAATATAAAATGTTGGTTATTATTAGATGTTTCGTATCAGTCAGCTGATCGGCATTAGTCGAACGTTTGAAGCTTGTGTGTAAGCTGGAGTTCTGGCTGTTCTTTTTTATGGTTTTCTGTCCGATACTAATATTAAAAATTAAAAATTAAAAATACATGAATTAATGGATTTTTTTCATGTACATTGCGGCAATGAATAGCAGTAGCTGATCTAAATATCTCCTGCGAATTCATATATACATATAAATGCTTTTATTTTGATTATTTCAAATGTTTCCAATTGATCTAAAGTACAGTATCAACTTCGTTTAACAGAAGAAACTGTTGCGACATTATTACTAGAAAAACTTGACACTTTCTGCCGAACAGCCATCTTAAGTTTATATATGTCCTAATGATCCATTCTTCATGATTTTAGTATGAGCAGTAACTTCTTCATTAATTTCTTTTTGGATATAACTAAAACAGAGTTGGGACAGGACTCGTCCCCTCACGTGTAGCTCAGTTGGCTAGAGCGATACTAAACAATTTGAAGTGCTGTGTTCGAAATCCTGTGTAGCTCCGCGGAATTTTTACACTCAAAACACTGTTGTTGTTGATAATAATTGGTGATTTTTTTTTTATCTCCCTTAAACTGCTGGCCGCAGCAACACTATCGATGCGGTCTCTTTACACTCTTACTCTTCAACAGAACGCACGTGAGTAACTTACTTCGATCGTCTTACTAGTTTCGGGAGTTGAAAGTTGTCATCAAACCCGATGTAGAGACCGTGTGGGACTTCACACACACCTTTTCTCTACAATATCGCCCCTGCCCCGCCTCATTTATGTGGGATTAGATTTGTTCTTGCCTTGTTTCCTTTCTTTGTTACATACTTGTAAGCGGGACAGGGACCTGGCTGTTTGGTAAACCAACCCCAAGAAGAAATTTGGAACATCTACGATTGAGCATGTGTTTCAGGGACTAGATAATCCGTTTTTGGGCCGCGGCGTTTTCTTCAAGTGTCCATTGAGTTTAAAAAAATAAAATTAACAAGAGGCCTGTATCGCTAGCCTGTTTCTTTTCTTACATGAAACTGACATATAGGTAACTTCAGCCCAAATTTGGTAACTAGAACACAAGACATTTTAACATCTCTTAAGCTTCTTAAGATACTGTTGTTTGAAATTTGAAATTTCAATTTTAAAGCGTTCAACCCACATTGACCTTTTACTCCGGCTAGCACTTAAAGTTGACATTTGACCTCGTTACTGTTATAAAGAAAAAGATTCACAGCTGTTCTACATAACATACCAAAGTATCATGACTCTAGACCAAATGCTTCTTAGGATATCGGTTTTTGAAGTTTTTTACATATTTGACCACTGTGACCTTGAAAGTAGGCCAAGGTCATTTTTTTGAGGAAACTTTATAGCACTCAAAACTAGGTACCTACTGGAAAAATATCATGACCCTAGGCCTTATGGAACTTGAGAAGAAGATTGTTAAAGCTTTTAACCCATGCTGACATTTGACCCCTGACTAGCACTTTAAATTGACTTTTGACCTCAGTACTATAATTAAGGAAAATATTTGCACTGCTGGTCTACATAACACACCTAAGTATCATGGCTCTAGTCCAAATGGTTCTTTGGATATTATTGTTTGAAGTTTTTAACATATTTGACCCCGGGGAACTTGAAATTAGGTCAAGATCATTTTAATGAGGAAAGTTTATAGCACTCCATCCCAGGTAGCTACTGGCCAAATAGCAAGAGAGTTAAAAACGAAAAGAAATCACATTATAGCGCTAGCTGTAGTAAGCTGTATTCTAAACACAGTGTGTTGAGTTTTATTTGATAAATAATTTATGTTCGTTTGAATTGGTGAATTAAGACATAAGATTATGTATCTCTTTGTATTCCAAAACCAGTGCAAAGGTAGATAATTGTTTCTGAACAATTCTTCATAGCGAAATAGATGCATATTTGTTAATGATCAATAAAAATCATTCCTAGATACGTATGAATTAAATGCGTTATGTATTTTCTTTTTTATTAACTAATTTTATATATAAATGATTCTTTTACTTGTTCGTTCTGTTTAGTTCAGGTCAAAACTGGAAGAAATGATTTAATATTCATAATAATCTCCCTTGCTGTTTCTTATCACTACCACAGTTTTATTTTTTCGGACTTTGCGTCAGTTGTTTTTGACCTAAATTTACATGGCAGTGTCGTCAATGAAGCAGAAGACGCTTACCCTTCCTATTTCTCCTACTTTTTATCGATTTTGAATTCTCATTATGGTTTTGTTAACAAATTTGATTTTTTTAACTGTTAGGGAACAATTTGTCATGATATTAAGAGCGCTTGTTGGAGATGAGTTATTACGTCTAGCCCATGACATGCACTGCGTCCCAGAATGAATGGTAACAAAAGACTGTAAAGCATAAATGACATAACCTACACAAACACAAAATATTGTCGATAATACATATATCCCTGTGTTCCAGTTCGACGCAAAACTCTGGAAGCAATACCTGGTAGCCTAATAGAACACTTTCAGTTTTGACACCAGTTTGTATTCCAAAAAACACACATTCCGGTATAAGCTTGCCACAAAAAGTACCCATAACATAGACATAATGTTTGCCTGTCCTTTGTACAGTAATAGAAGTTCTGATTTATATTCACTGACATCTACGTTCCGGTAATTACAACACAAAAGCAGTCTTTTGCAGCAGCCTCGTTTGATGACGTGGCTTTTTGATTCCGTCTACACTCCCTATGTCACTTCCTGCACTGACTGGATTAGATGTCACGTCCAACATTTCTGTCCTGAAGACTAGCCCTATACAGGAGACACTGACAGAATCTTCACCTTTTCCATAAGCATTTTGGTTGTCATTTCAAATGAAACACCAATTAATATTACGTATACAGTAATTCCAAAAACAAAAAACATTTGGTGTTTCCGGTAACTGTAACCCTACCAACCCTGATTTTTTGTGCCTACCCTAAACTGTTTAAGGCAGTTTTCAAAAAAGCACTGTTAAAGTCAAGATCACTCGCATATTTAAGCCATATAAAATGATTTGTTAAAATAAATGTTTACCTACCTACCCTAAACTTTCCAAGCATGTTACAGGAAACATATATCTTTTGTGTCTGGCCTAATACGATATATAATGAACGTCTATTCCATAGTAAGTTCTAACAATGTTTTTTTTATTTATAAATTGTTCGTCAATATGCACATAATTAGGTAAAGAGAGGGTTCATTTGACGTTCATTAAATAGCGTTTTGTTAATTAATAAAAACCGAAACATTGTGATTTCACAGTATCTAGTACCAAGGGCCATATGATACTGTATACAGGGAAGCGTTCGTCCAGTCAAATATTCGACTGTCACCGGTAACATCCATGTTCGCCCAGTGTTAATCTCGATCGTTATATGTTATTACTATTCATTGTATTTTATGTACTTATATTTGGCATGATAAACTCGCACTCATTGCGGAAGGCAAAAAAGGCGGACGTTAGACTGCGGTGAACATTCCGGGTATACAATAATATATTGTGTTGAATCTTTCTGAGCTTGTTAAGTCATCCAAGGATATTTGAGAAATCTACGGACAGAATAAAGCTAATAAAAATAAAAGTCATGTAAGAGAATTGCTTTCCTGTCTCTCCTTCGAAAATAAAGTCAACACAAAAGTTTTTAGCAACTCAAAACTCCCCGATACCAGACGGTGTTGGAGTATTCCACGTTTTCATATAGCAGTGCGCTCTTACCCAACACCAGACATCTAACTGTCAAAATGTCAAAGTCTGGTGTCAGGGCCAGAGGACACTCGGGCTAGCATAACTAAAAATGATTAAGTGCTTATTTTAATATCATTTTTAGATGATCATATTTCATACATAAATTCAGTGTAATGACGTACAGAGGAAACATAAGGCCTAAAACGAAATATTGAAACATCTTTAAGGAAATATCTTCTTTGAATTATTTAAAGTGGTCATGGGTATTTATTAATTAGAACACATATAGAAATGTGAAAATATTTATTATTTCGAGAAGAGATTTAAAAATTAAATAATTACAAAACAAACTAGAATCTTATATTATTATAGAAATTAACCAGTGGTTACTTAAAGTCAATACAATGTAATGTGAACTGCTTCACAATACAATGTTATATAAAGTACTACACAATACAATGTAATATAAACTACTACACAATACAATGTAATGTGAACTGCTACACAGTAAATGGGTTTTACCATTCTATGCATTGTGGCTGGTCTTCGCAATTTAATAAAAACATGTGAGGTCGTCAAACGTGTGAATGACGCTGCGGAGACGGGCAAAGACGACGTCGTCTCGAGGTTTTTTCCTGTAGATTACAAGTTTAATCTTGTAAATTGTTATCTACGCCTTATATGCAATACTGTTCCCGTTGTGAACTTACAACCTCTGTCAACAGCGGCTTGTAATATAAAACACGTGTAAAATGTGTAAAACGAACTGTAAAATCGTCATGTGGTAGGGAATTAAATTAATTCTTTAAGAGCGTGGTAGATAACGGGGTCTGGCAGTGAAAAACATGACAATACTCTCGACATCCCTTTACCGTGCTGATTTGCAATGATAATGTTAATATAACTAGCATTTGTGAATATCTTTTTAATTATATCGGAAGCTTATACGAATATAGGGTAAATATTGAAAATATTCCTGAATCTTATTCAAATATATATAAATATATATTTAAAATATTTCTGTAGGCATTTCTTTCACTGAAACTAATATGTTAATATAACTAGCATTTGTGAATAACTTTTTCGATTATATCAGAAGATAATACGATTATAAAGTAAATATTTTAAATATTTCTGAAACTTTTTCAAATATAGAAAGAAATATTTGAAATATTTCTGCATGCATTCTTTCACTGAAATTAGTATGGCGAACCCTTGCGGGTATTATAATGGAGTTGAGTTACTATAGACGAAGAGGTGTCCATGACGATCGATACGAGAGCAGCAATGCATCATGGGATACCCATAATATCCATACTTCATCATATAATCTGTGGCAAAAAATCAGTTATTATTGTCGAGTTTCTGGCAATTAAATGAGTGCTTTATATATATTTTAGACTAATCCTATTATTAAATGTGACAGTTTGGTCATGCTAGAGACGAGTAAATTTCAAACCAAGATGATAAAATGTTGTTAATGAACTAATTTAAGCTTTTTAATTTATTAAAATAAACCAGCAATATACAATTTATAAGTACCTAAGCACAGTTGTGATATAAATCATTGAGGAATATATGAAAACAAAGATTTGGACATAAGTGTTTGATACATATGTACGAATTATAAAAGCATAAGTTAATAACTTTTTTAACAATTATAATCTACGTTTACGTAAAATTTGAATAGAAATAAGATATAATTGACAAGTAATTTACATGTATTAAAATGAAATTTTAAAATACCTAAGCACAGTTGCGATATAAAACATTGAGGAATGCATGACAACAAAAGTTTGAACGAAAATATTGGATACTAATTATAATATTATAAGTTAATAATTTGTAATCTTTTAACAATTTTATGTACGTTTACGTAAAATTTAAATAAAAATGATATGTAGTGGACACATACGATATGAGTATACACTAATGTGCATCTTCCTATGCAAATTTTAAGAGACTTGTTTGCAGCTAAATACATTTACATCAAAAATGAATTAAATACGATAGTCACAGCTAGATTCAAACAATTTTATAATAAAAAGTATATACGATAGTCACAGCCAGATTCAATCAATTTACAGCAAAAATGAATTAAAAACGATAGTAACAGCTAGATTCAAACAATTTACATCAAAAATGAATTAAATACGATAGGCGAAGCGAGATTCAATCAATAAACAGCAAAAATGAATTAAATACGATAGCCAAAGCGAGATTCAAACAATTTACCGCAAAAATGAATTAAATACGATAGCCAAAGCGAGATTCAATCAATTTCATAAAAAAAATACGATAGTCACAGCCAGATTCAATCAATTTACAGCAAAAATGAATTAAATACGATAAGCAAAGCGAGATTCAATCAATTAACAGCAAAAATGAATTAAATACGATAGCCAAAGCGAGATTCAAACAATTTACCGCAAAAATGAATTAAATACGATAGCCAAAGCGAGATTCAATCAATTTCATAAAAAAAAATACGATAGTCACAGCCAGATTCAATCAATTTACAGCACAAATGAATTAAATACGATAGTCACAGCTAGATTCAAACAATTTACAGCAAAATTGAATTAAATACGATAGCCAAAGCGAGATTAAATCAATTTCATAAAACAATAAGATTGAATACGATAGTCACAATCATAAAACATTTGTACCTTGACAATCGTCATCAGTCTCTGTTTGCGAAGTATCGTGTGTTTACTTTGGCGAATCGTCCACAGTCTCTATTTGCAGTGTATCGTGTTTGAACCTTGACAAATCGTCCACAGCACATTTTGACGATGTATCGTGTGTGTACCTTGACAAATCGTCCACAGCACATTTTGGCGGTGTATCATGTTTGTACCTTGACGAATCGTCCATTTTCTCTATTGGCTGCGTATCGTGTTTGTACCTTGACAAATCGTCAACAGCACATTTTGGCTGTGTATCGTGTTTGAACCTTGACGAATCGTCCATTGTTTGTATTGTCGGAGTAATTTGTCGGTACGTTGAAGAATCGTTGTACATTTCTAAAGTCGAAGCATCGCATTCGTGCCCTACTGCATCGTCCGTAGCGTCTATCTCCGAATTAAGACATCCGTAAACTGTATCTGCTTGTTCAACATTGTTACTCTGAAACAGATATAATTCATTGTTGTAATTAACAATGTAACAGAAGGGGGAAAGCTCTCAATGTCGAAAAATCGACCCCACCAAACTTTCTCGCATCAACAATCACATTTCTCATTGTTGTACAAAAACATGCTTGGTACCGTTGGGAAGATTGATAATGTGTCTTTTACAGACCTCCTATATGCATCCAAAATGTACATTCCGCAGACATGATCCCCGTTTCCTCCAAATAAACACACTTTTTCCAAGTTTCAATGTTTTTGTCAGTCAAAGAGACACTTTTTCCATACTAATGAGGTTGACATCAGCCCCGTGCCTACACATGTGGTATGATTGGCTGATTATTTTAGGGATGAAATGGGTGCGCTGTTCGGAATATACCGTGGCTTATAGTCGGCGCTATTCACACACTCGAGGATTCACAAAAGACAGGGAAATTTGTAAATATATTTATATAAACTAACAGTTTGATTTCAAGATTGACCAGAACCGAACATGGATACAAGAAAGCACACGCCTTCTCTACAGTAACATGAACAAATGTTATATATTACGTAATAATATAAAACAAAACTATAGGATTTTGAAATCAAGTGAAATATATCAATAAACCTGTAGCATGTAGTCTGTTTGAAGCAGACGGAAAAATAAAAAACAATGTGCAAATGCTGAAGGTATGCCGGGAAATCTTATATAGATTTACGAATCTTTACCGAAAGTTGATCTAAAGCTCTAAAACGTGTAGAATTACTCTGAACACGTTAGTGTAGGTCCAAATATATATATAGGTTTAGGATGTAGAAAGGCAAACAAAGCAAACATTTCATTCTGGAACGGTTTACATAAACACTGCTTCAAAGACATTTTCTGTTGCAGACAAATGTTAACGCTGAGTACAGTTTCTACAAATATTTCGAAAACAATTCAGACATACTTTTCAATTTGTTCACCTTTAGTACCAAAACTGAGTCAATAAAAGGACGGAATGTGGTGCCGTTAAAATGTTTCCTTTGTTTGATTTTCTGCAGCGAATTACTAAATGTTTAAATAGCCTTACTTCACATTATTAGTTATAATTTTGTTCTTTTTTCAACAAAAAGAGCTGAGGACTTTACGATGAATTTGTCTTTTATATGAATGTATTGATTCTGTTCCTTTAACAAAACGCGTTAGTTTGGCATACAACGCATCATATATCGTGTTATACATACAAGCATTATGATTAATATAGTTAGTTGATAACTATTTTTAAAGCTGATTACACCAAGACTCCAAAGTAGCTCAAATGAAGTTCCAATAATCTCGGTGTGTGGTGTTGGTAAAACAATTGTAATACCTGTGGCGACTCATACGCTAATGTATATCTTATCATGAGTCAAAACGAGATTACATATAATCAGGAATTATATAATTCAAGACTGCAAATACATTTACAACATACAATTGTGTTATTAAATTTATAAATTGTGTTCATAACGAAAGGAAGCATCATGATGTTTTGTTAATTTTCATAGTTAATACTAATATCAGATAAGTCTATTTAGCAAGAATAAGCAAGTTATGAAAAGGTGCTACTTTTTATTTTAAATATATCAACTCTATTTTCACTATTACTTACTAAATTACACTTGTATACATAATATACAATGATTGTTTTGAAAATATGTTAAAAGTTAATCTTTCAGACCTGTAATAATTTTTCTTGAAAACAAGAAAGACTTAAAATGGATACTTACTATAATTTCATGCCTACAAAATTGTTTCCTTCTGAACAGCAAATACGCTCCAAAGAGGCAGCTAATGCCGATGATAGCCAGCACAGTCATGATAAGGAAACCAAGTGACATCGGAATACAGGTGTTGTATGAATAAATACGAAACGTTCCACTAGGGCATTGTGTGACACACTTTGAGTCGTAGACATAAAATCTTTTCGAACTATCGCATTCGGATTTGGATATACAAGTTTTTTCCCCGGAAAGGAACTGGTGCGAGGGACACGTTTTAAGACATTCGTTGTATGATTTAATGGGATATGATGCTGGACATTCCTTGACACACGTTTTGTTCGATTTTAACACAAGATAGGAAACGGGACAAAAATTAACACAAGATTTGTAAAGTGTAAGCTTTGGACAGGTTGAATAACACGTGGAGTCCCTGCTAAATGAATACTTAAGGTTTACTGTGTAGGGATGTGTATCTGGGCAACTCTCGACACAATGGTTTCCGGCAGTGAATTTTGGACACTTTTTTGTGCATTGTACGTCTTCGAAAACGAACTCGTTTTTCTGACAAACTTTTCGACAGATTGTTCCGCGTGAAGATATCTCTATATATCTGTATTCATTCGGACATCCGATAATGTCTTCACATACATTGTTAACAATAAACTTGCCAGTACAGGCCTGTGTGCAATTGTTGTTTTCTCGGAACATCGGATATATACATTCATGTACACATGTATGACCTTGAGAGGAAGGTGATGTCATATTGAACGGTTTTGGACATTTTTCAATACAAGTATTGTTCATAACAAAGGGAATACTTGCAGGGCAAGATCTGAGACATGTGTGGTTAAGTTCAACCAGAGGGGGTTTGCATGCTGCCAAGCATCGGTTTTTCTGTTGTTCGTGGAACACGTGTGTTGCTGGACATTTTGGAACACAAGATTGTCCTAATACCAACGGGGTGTCGGGAGGACAAACATCCACACAACTAGTGCTATCGAAAATATGTTTGTCACATGATGACTTGCATCTGTAAGCAAATTTATTGTCGTTTGTTATAAATTGATAACGAAATCGACTATGTTTCGGACATTGCTCTAAACACGTGCGGTTCAGCAAATAAGAAGATAAGGGTTCTGGACACTGGTCATAACAATTCTTTCCTCTTGTGAAGGTTGTCCCTGGGCATTTTTCTACACATACGATTATATATTTCCCGTAGCCGTCCTCCTTTTTATATTTTAGGGATTTATCTAATGGACATTTTTCGATGCAATTTGATCCATTTAAAACAGTTGTATTAGGACACCTAAATACACATGTCATGTTATATGAAAACCTCCACAGACCTTTTTTGATATCGCATTTATCGTAACAATATGATAAATTGGGAGCCCACTCTTCCGTTGCATAATATGGATGTGACGATGGACACGCCTCTACACACAAACCATCGTATAAATGTTTAGCATGTTCCGGACACGAGTCTCGACATGTGTTATTATAACCTACTAAGAACCGAGGACAATGTGCAAGACACTCTCCGTTATGAACCAAGTTATATGGCGATGGGCATTTCTCAACACATGTAGAATTATGAGAGAGTAAGTGTGCTGAACAGTTGCATTTACCTCCATGTAGCAAATACGCAGGACTAATGCTATCACTACAGGACGCCACACAGTAGTTAATCACTTGATAGGAATATCTTGATGTTCGTCCGCTTTTATAAAAAGGGTGGGAGGGTGGACAAACCGTTAAGCATGTATGATTGAAGTTATAGATTGCCTGTTTAGGACAAGAAGAGAAACACGAGTTATTCCAAAGCAGTAAATTGTCAACTGAACAATTGTTATAGCATTTCCAGTAACCAGTATAGCTGTGTGTTTCTGGGCACCTCTTTACACAAGATGCGTTGAAAATGTAATTTCCCCAACTACAATATTTTACACATGTCCCAGATTCATTCAATAAATGCTTTGGACATTGAGAGAAACATTGTTGATTGAATACCAACAGACTAGATTTGGGACATTCAGAGACACACGTTCTGTTAAAAACTAATTTGTTGCCTGGACAATCCGCAGTACAACGATTGTCGTTCACATTTTCCGTGATTCGACATTGTGAGACGCAGGAATATGGTGATGTACTGCCCTCCAACAGTCTGTGGCTGGGAGGACAGCGGTCAACACAGGTTGAATTAAACACATACATATTCTTGTCGCAGGTTTTTACACACGAAATACCATCCGAAAACGTGTCATTGGGGCAGTTTGTAATACAAATCGGAATTTTAAAGTGTGGAACTCTTCTGTTCAATACATAGATAATTGGGGCCGAGTCTGGACACGTTCTAACACACGTTCTGTTCCATAGAAGGAATCCTTCCGGACACTGTAGCTTGCACACATGTCGATCAACGAAAGTGAAGTCCGGACACGATTCCAAGCAAAATTTTGTATTTAGAGCCTCGAAATCGAAAGGAGCTAGATTTGGACATGATGTGGTACACGTCTTATTATACCGAAACATTTTGACTGGGCAGTCACGGACACAGACGCTACCATAAAGTATAGTATACGTTGAACATTTTGAAACACAAATACCCGATTCATTGTAGGGAGAGTCTCGGGGGCATTCGGTTACACATGATTTGTTGTAAACCATCGATGTCGTATTAGAACAATGGTAGACGCATGAAAAGTCCTCCCTAACCATTTCATGTGGACAATCTGACAAACAATGAAAGTCAAAGCAAAATGGTCTCTCTTTCGGACAAATTCCTTTTTGGCATCGCAAGACTGCTGTTTTTTCCGGTTTTGTTGCAGCTGATTGAGGGATAGCATCTGTACTATTACACGTGTAAGATAAACCCACAGGACAGAAGTCCAAACATAAATCGGACACTATATACGGTGCATTAGGAGGGCAGTTGTCAGTGCAATTGGAGGAAAATTCGACTTGGTAGGAACCCGATGGACATTCCACATAGTTGTTCCCTTTGTAGTGTACCAGTACCTCCCCTCTGACGATACAAATCTGAAAACAACCAAAAGAAATGATCTATAAATAAATATTCATATCAAAGAAAACAATTTTTGTTCCTGATTTATAGATTCAACGATCATACTAAATCATCAGCCCAAAAATGGTCATCAAGAAGTAAAAATATATGCATAACATTTTTTGCAAATGTTAAAATAACGTCATGAGGATATTAATGTCACCAAAAATGAACTGAGACGTGAATAATTTTGAAACGTTTACGTCATTTTAATATTATTTTAGTAACAAGAACATTTAATTTCTTTTAATATTTTGAATATCGTAACGTTATTTTAACATCAAAATAGCTACATGCTTCCTGAAAAGCTAATGACGTTGTTATTACGTTCAAACAATAGAAGTTACCGTTTAAATAACATTCTTAATATGTTTTATTAGTTGGTTGATTGGTTGTTAAGGGTTTAAAGTCCTACAGCAGCTAAGGACATTTAAGGATTTGCTTCCATGTGTGTAGTGTATGTGTGCATGAGTGCTGGAGGCATGGTATGTTGATGTTCTGATGCCAAATTTAAACTACTACTTCACTGAAATACAATGTCGAAACAATCCAGCACATCATTCCGCCCGGTCACATTATACTGACAACGGGTGAACTTGTTGTTGTTATTTCCCTAAATGCTGAACGTAAACCATTGAATAACACCTACAGATTTTTAACTCACCTTAAACTCTAGCGTTACAAAGGTAACATACGTTTTCGAAATTAGTCCAATGCTAAGCAGGCCTTTAAACAACAGATAACAAACAACTGATAATACATTTGACAAATAATTAAGTTTTAAAAACATGAAGATGCCTTCTTGCTGTGTCTGAACTCCATTGGACTCTAGCTTGAGCAGCAGCAAAGCTAAAAGCCAAGGATAATTTGCCCAAATCGATGCAAGGGGCAAGTGAGAAAACCCCAATCCGGACGATATCTTTAATTACCACTGCTGTTGTAGTCACTTGCTGGTCAATAGGTCCTTCAGTTGCATAGTTGAAGAGACACCTGAAAACACAAGGTCAAGATTAACTCGACTTGTGCTTCTCGCATCTGTGATGAGACTTGGGACAAGGATTACCTCAAGCCGGACAACATTGTAATAATCGTCGCAGGTGGACCCACGTTCTTTACATCTAGATGTCGAGCAGACAACGTTCTGATGACTGAGGCCACTGGATTTACTTATTGATGTGTCCGAACTAGGTAAATGGTGACCCCGTGTCGAAAAAGATAGGTTTTAGATGCATTCAGACAAAGTGTCAGCATATTACCGTTAGCTGATACATGGGGATCAGAAATACCGAATGACGCGTAATATCAAATGGACTTGTATCACAGGTGAATTCTCCGCACCGTGTGGGAAACCAAAGAATGCCACATTGCACGCAGCCTGCATGGTCAGGTCGGTATGGAAGCTATATATTCCTTGTTGATAGGCAGCTGTTGATTCTGACAGCATATTAAATGTGATAGAGAGTCTTGGACTGGAAGAGTCCTTTATAAATATTTATTGATACCATGCAGGATATCTAAGGGGATGAAGTAGGATCTAGTTGAATCATGGAGTGATTAAGATTGTACATTGTTATGCATGTACAGAAACACACAGCTACAGAGTGACATGTTACATGGGTTCTGTCAGCGACTGCAGAGTCTAACAGTTTTTTGATAGTGTGATCTAGTAAAAGGAACATCGTTGAAGTCTGGATCTTGTCTAGGTCGCCGGTCTGCCTTAGGGGCTAGGCTGGATAATCTTTCCATATGAAACCCAGACAACGAGTCAGCAAATTTAAATAATTCTGTTGGTATGTGCATAGCTGTGACAATAATTATTTGTAAAAGTACACATAGTTAAACGACGCATTATTGTCATAATACTATCACTTTTAAAACGACCGTTTATGATAATGTCTACTGTGGCTTGATGAAACTTAACTCTCTTCCCAGACAAACAATGTCCCACCAAAATAGCTGTAATAACTATAGGATATAGTTCCATATAGACTATCAACCCATTTTAGTTTTCAAGCAATATCTTGCTGGGCCAGTGGCTATTGATCCACTGTTTATCATAGTATCCCAAAAACCTTTCGATCCAGCAGCATCAATGAACAGGTCAATATCGTTAGCCAGTTGAGTGACATCACTTAAGTCAATGGAGTGACAATTCCATTGGTTCATGAACGAATACCACATTTGTAGATCTTTTCGTCACCCCTTTTTGAAATATTTCTAAACATTTTCTCAGGTTGGTAAGTATGGATTATGAAAAGTTCTTTTCCACACAATCACGAACATTTTCTATGTGACGTTTTGATGACTAGTACGATATGTACACTGTCACCTTCATCAGACAAATGAGCAGTGAAGCGTATGCATACAAAGGTGTAAAATGTGTACGAGTTGTCCACAAAACGGATCACACTTCAAAAAATTAGGCAGAGACAAATCCATTACCATACTACCAGCTGAAGGCAACAGTTGTCATGGACACCGAAGATTATGAGGCCAAGGTCACAACACTGATACAGGACAACAAGACATATGAACAGCTGCAGACCAATCCAACTCAAAAGTTCAAAAGGCGTCTCATAGCCTTCCTGTCAAATTAAAACAAGAGAGAAAGATTTCCGAAGGCCAATACAAATATATGTATCCCACAGCAGAGAAAACTCCTATAATGTACTGTTCACCCAAGATCCACAAGCAGCGAAACCCACTGAGGCCTATTGTGGACTACACCGGATCCATTGCTTACAATCTAGAGGAAGCTATGTCTACCATCATTATTCAGGAAGACGAAGAATTTATTTCACATGATGGTGTCTCTCTTTTTACCAACACACCCATTGACGACGCACTTACAATCAATCAGTAACGTGTAGAATGAGACAGATCTTTGCACAAAAACACAAACCTCCAGATTCAGGACATCATGGATTTGCTAGAATTTGTGCTGACAACAACATATTTTAGTTTCCGAAACAACATCTATCAACAACGCTTCAGCACGGCTAAGGGTAGTCCAGTGTCTCTCATTGTGGCCAACTTGTTCATGGAACATCTGGAGCAAGAAGCAATAGCCACTGCCCCCATATAATGCAAGCCTAGCTTATAGAAACGATACGTTGACGACATACTTGAGATAATCAAGAAGGGGTCACAGAAGGATTTGACTACAAAAATCAACACCATAGATGCCACTAACAACATCAAATTTATATGCGAGGAAGAAACCAATGCCCTTCCTAGACACTCTACTGGTAAAGAAAGAAGACGGAACCGTGAAGGTACTGGTCTATAAAAAAGACCCATACGGATCAATACCTGAACTTCAAATCTCACCATCCTTTGCACCAGAAGTGCGTCGTACGTACATTGATCAAGAGATGTGTTACAATAGTCACAGAACAACAGGACAAAACACAAGAGGAGAATTACATCGTTAGGGCAATGAGAACATGTGCATATCCCCGGAATGGACCCTAAAACGGGTACAAAAACAGTGTCAAAGTAAGGAGAAGAACAAGAAAAGGCCAACCAAGTATTCATGGTATGATGTTGAGTATCCATGCTATGATACTGAGTATCCATGTTATGATGTTGAGTATTTATGCTATACTGGTGAGAATTCATGCTATGATGTTGAATATCCATGATATGATGTTGAGTATCCATATAATAATGTTGAGTATTCATGCTATGATGTTAAGTATCCATGCTATGATGTTGCGTATCCAAACTATGATGTTGAGTATTCATGCTATGCTGTTGAGTATCCATGCTATGATGTTGCGTATCCAAACTATGATGTTGAGTATTCATGCTATGAGGTTGAGTATCCATGCTATGATGTTAAGTATCCCTGCTATGATGTTGGGTATCCATGCTATGATGTTGAGTATCCATTCTAAGATGTTGAGTATTCATGCTATGCTGTTGAGTATCCATGCTATGATACTGAGTATCCATGTTGTGATGTTGAGTATTTATGCTATACTGGTTAGAATTCATGCTATGATGTTGAATATCCATGATATGATGTTGAGTATCCTTATAATAATGTTGAGTATTCATGCTATGAGGTTGAGTATCCATGCTATGATACTGAGTATCCATGTTATGATGTTGTGTATTTATGCTATACTGGTGAGAATTCATGCTATGATGTTCAATATCCATGTTATGATGTTGAATATCCATATAATAATGTTGAGTATTCATGCTATGAGGTTGAGTATCCATGCTATGATGTTAAGTATCCATGCTATGATGTTGGGTATCCATGCTATGATGTTGAATATCCATGATATGATGTTGAGTATCCATATAATAATGTTGAGTATTCATACTATGATGTTAAATATCCATGCTATGATGTTGAGTATCCATGCTATGATGTTGAGTATTCATGCTTTGATGTTAAGTATCCATGCTATGATGTTGAGTATCCATGATATGATGTTGTGTATCGATGCTTTGATGTTCAGTATTCATGCTATGATGTTAAGTATCCATGTTATGATATTGAGTATCCATGCTATGATGTTGAGTATCAATGCTATGATGTTGAGTATTCATGCTATGATGTTAAGTATTCATGTTATGATATTGAGTATCCATGCTATGATGTTGAGTATCAATGCTATGATGTTGAGTATTCATGATATGATTTTGAGTATCCATGCTATGATGTTGAGTATTCATGCTAAGATGTTAAGTATCCATCCTATGATGTTGAGTATCCATGCTATGATGTTAAATATACATGCTATGATGTTGAGTATTCATGCTATGATGTTGAGTATTCATGCTTTGATGTTAAGTATCCAGGTTATGATGTTGAGTATCCATGATATGATGTTGTGTATCGATGCTATGATGTTGAGTATCCATGCTATGATGTTTAGTATTCATGTTATGATATTGAGTATTCATGCTATGATGTTGAGTATCCATGCTATGACGTTGAGTATTCATGATATGATTTTAAGTATTCATGCTATGATGTTGAGTATCCATGTTTGATGTTGAGTATCCATGCTATGATGTTGAGTATCCATGCTTTGATGTTCAGTATCCATGCTATGATGTTGAGTATGTTGAGTATCCATGCTATGATGTAGAGTGATTTCATCATGTTGTTATGTCAGTATGACATGATGTTGTGTGATCCCATGCTATGATGTTGAGTATCCATGTTTGATGTTGAGTATCCATGCTATGATTTTGAGTATCCATGCTTTGATGTTCAGTATCAATGCTATGATGTTGAGTATCCATGCTATGACGTTGAGTATTCATGATATGATTTTAAGTATTCATGCTATGATGTTGACTATCCATGTTTGATGTTGAGTATCCATGCTATTATGTTAAGTATCCATGCTATGATGTTGGGTATCCATGCTATGATGTTGAGTATCCATGATATGATGTTGTGTATCGATGCTTTGATGTTCAGTATTCATGCTATGATGTTAAGTATTCATGTTATGATATTGAGTATTCATGCTATGATGTTGAGTATCCTTGCTATGATGTTGAGTATTCATGCTATAAAGTTGAGTGTCCATGCTATGATGTTGAGTATCCATGATATGATGTTGTGTATCGATGCTATGATGTTGAGTATCCATGCTATGACGTTGAGTATTCATGATATGATTTTAAGTATTCATGCTTTGATGTTGAGTATCCATGTTTGATGTTGAGTATCCATTCTATGATGTTGAGTATCCATGCTATGACGTTGAGTATTCATGATATGATTTTAAGTATTCATGCTTTGATGTTGAGTATCCATGTTTGATGTTGAGTATCCATGCTATGATGTAGAGTGATTTCATCATGTTGTTATGTCAGTATGACATGATGTTGTGTGATCCCATGCTATGATGTTGAGTATCCATGATATGATGTTGTGTATCGATGCTTTGATGTTCAGTATTCATGCTATGATGTTGAGTATGATATGATGTTGAGTATTCATGCTATGATGTTAAGTATTCATGTTATGATATTGAGTATCCATGCTATGATGTTGAGCATCCATGCTATTATGTTAAGTATCCATGCTATGATGTTGGGTATCCATGCTATGATGTTGAGTATCCATGATATGATGTTGTGTATCGATGCTTTGATGTTCAGTATTCATGCTATGATGTTGAGTATCCTTGCTATGATGTTGAGTATTCATGCTTTGATGTTAAGTATCCATGCTATGATGGTGAGTCTTCATGCTATGATGTTGAGTATCCATGTTATGATGTTGAGTATCCATGCTATGACGTTGAGTATTCATGATATGATTTTAAGTATTCATGCTTTGATGTTGAGTATCCATGTTTGATGTTGAGTACCCATGCTATGATGTTGAGTATCCATGTTATGAAGTTGAGTGTCCATGCTATGATGTTGAGTATCCATGTTTGATGTTGAGTATCCATGCTATTATGTTAAGTATCCATGCTATGATGTTGGGTATCCATGCTATGATGTTGAGTATCCATGCTATGATGTTGAGTATCCATGCTATTATGTTAAGTATCCATGCTATGATGTTGAGTGTTCATGCTATGATGTTGAGTATCCATGCTATGATGTTGAGTACCCATGCTATGATGTTGAGTATCCATGCTATTATGTTGAGTATCCATGCTATGATGTAGAGTGATTTCATCATGTTGTTATGTCAGTATGACATGATGTTGTGTGATCATGTTTTGTTGTTCACTGCTTGTCTCGTTGTTGTCATATTGTAAGCATTTTGCATACACTGATAAAAATTATTTAGCGTTTTGATTCTTTGAACGAAATCAAGTTTTTTCATGCAAAATATATATGAATTTGTCTCCAAACATTGAAAAGCATTAATCAATGGATATGTAATGTAAACGTCAGAGTTCTAATGTTTGTGGTTATAAGGTAGAACACGGGTCGTATTTATATTTTATTTAAACATTCTTATACAAGCTTCGTTACATATGAAAATGTACGGGAGTAAGTTACGGGAATTAAACATTGACTGTTAAACAAATTTCACGGTAAGGTTTAGTATGATTCTTAATTATATCTTTATATATATAAATAAAACAAAACACGAAGTCTAGTATAATCGGCTAGCGCTTTCGCCCATCTTGTGGCTCTTCAGGCGATTTATATTTATTTATATATACATATTTTACGTATATGTATATTTATATATACATATATGTACATATTTTATATACTGTTGGAATTACTTCTTTGCCCCATATACTATTTTAATTAATTCGTATCCTACGGACATACCTCCATTAGGATCCAGTGTTATATGGGATTTTACCGTCTATATTATTTCTTTGACCCATACATATTTTATATATATATATATATATATATATATATATTTGAATTATTGCATACGACATATTTTTGGATGTAAAAGTCTAATAGAGACACTTGAATAAATTTGGGAATATTACGTGAGATATCTTTATTGTTTGTGATATAGCTATTGTTTACAGGATATCTTATACATGTAGTTATAATGGAACTAGAAACGAGAAACCTCCCGGTATAACATATAGAGATACTGTATCGCTAATAGTTTTTGACATATTTTTTAAAGTATCAGATATATCTCTTTTAGGTATTCAATGTTCAGTTGGCTTGCCATACATTTTTTGAAAAAGAAGTATTTCTGCATACATGCTTATAGTGTTTTGTGTATCAATTATACGTTTAATCATTGTAAATAAATAACTCATCTGAACATTTTGTTACTTGTATACATGTATCAGCATATTACTATAAAAATAGCCTACATAATACCTTTGTTTACAATTTCCAGCAAACGTCTTAAAATAAATAACTTGACCAACTAGAAATATATTAAAATAAACTCTTTTGAATTTCGTTCCAAATCCCTCATGATTTAAGGCAATTTATTCATTTTTTATCTTTCCTTACACCAACTCGCATCTCGAAAATAAAACAAAAACAATGAAAAATAAAAAAGTCGTTCTCGGACATTTTGAAAATACATATTCTGAAGAACTACAAATTGATTTGGTGCAGCCTTAATTATTTTTTGTAAATTTTATAATTGCTCTTGACAAATTTGTGAAATTTATGAAAATTCTCAAAAAGGTTGGTTTTCCAAAAATACTGGTGATGAATTTGTCTGAAAACATGGAAAAGTATTAATCAATGAATATGTAATGTACAAGCAACAAATCCTCTATTTATGTCACGGAAGTAGATTACCTAAGTCCGAGTTCAACGTTACATCAAGCAGTTTTCTCAACCGCGTCTGCCAAACTGATATACGTTTTTAATGAACTTTGGTTAACATGGACCGGTTTTAAAACGACCACCATGCAAGAAAAGTAGCCGTTTAACGTTATAAATATATAGTATGCACATGAAAAAGCTTGATTTCGTTCAATGCTTCAAAACGCGTGATATCTTTTATCAGTGTATGAAAAACGCTTACAACAAGACAACGACGAGACAAGCAGTGAACAACATAACATGATCACACAACATTCTGTCATACTGACATAACAACATGATGAAATCACTCAACAACATAACATGGATACTCAACATCATAACATGAATACTCAACACGATGCTGTTTCAACTCAACACCAATACGATACCTTTTACCGACATAACATGACTCCTCGGCGTTACACTTTTTCGCCTAAACACAATGAGACGTTAAGGCAAGTACATGGCAATACCACTAGACATCATACTATGAATACTCTACGTTACACAGTTTCAAATCAACAAAATGACATGTCAACCCAACATAATTATATGTTAACTGAACATCATGGTATGTCAACCCAACACCATGAGATGTCAATCCAATATAACGACATGTCTACGCAGCACAAACACATGTCCACCCTACATAATGACATGTTAACCCAATATAATGACATGTCCACTGAACATTATGACATATCAACTGAACGTCATGGCAAGTCAACCCGACATAACGACATGTCAACCCAATATTATATGTTAACCCAACATAATATAGACACTGAAGATAAGACAGTTCCGTCATGATGTGTTCCGTCATTTCGTACTCAGTCATGGTGTCTGCCGTCATACTGTTTCCTGACATAGAATCTCCTGATATGATGTCTTCCATCATGGTGTCTGCTGTCGTTGCCACTTCCGTCATGGTGTCTCCCGTTATGGTGTCATCCGTCATGGTGTGTCATGATGACTTTTGTCATTGTGTCTTCCGTAATGGTGTTTCCAGTCATGATGTCATTCGTCATAACGTCTTCCTAATTGGTGTCTCCCGATAAAGTGTCTTCCGTAATGGTGTCTCCTATCATGATATCTCTCGTCATAATGTCTCCCGTCATGATGTGTTCCGTCATTGAGTATTCCCTCATGGTGTCACCCGTCATACTGTTACCTGTCATAGAGTCTCACGACATGATGTCTTTCGTCATGGTGTCTCCTGTCATAGTGTCGTCCGTCATGATGTCTTTCGTCATAGTGTCTCCCGTCATACCGTTTCCTGTCATAGAGTCTCACGACATGATGTCTTTCGTCATGGTGTCTCTCGTTGAATTGCCTTCTTGGAGGCTTCAGACATGATTTGATCCGTTACGGTGATTCCTGTAACGGCGTGTACCGTCGTGATGCTTGATAAAATTAGATATATACCCCACCGGTTCTTCACTTGTTATGTCTGAAATGCTTATGTATAGAATATGTATGAATACACCTTATTTTGTTGGCCGCCTCAATAGACATGCCCATTCATGTATGTAATCTTTGACATAACAGAACGTCTGCACTCGTGTATTAGTTTAGTGAAGGGATCAGTCGCTCGACTTCATATTTTAAGGTAAGAATATATTTTTACATATGATTTGTTGATCAAAACTGAAATACAAAACCAATATATAGTATCTCTGTGTGTAGTGTGATTAATTGTTATATATATGACGATCATCAGCTTCTTACCTGTGTAACTATGGACGAAAACATTACAACAAACAGTCGAAGCTGGTGTCTATCCATGGTGTCACATAGGGTATATGTGTTTAGCTGTGTATTAGATCACTTCCTGTGTCTAAATATATCGAATCAGTCACATACCCAGGGTCGCTTCGTTTTCTTCTAGAGCCAGGGACAAAATATCAACGAGATGTATACACATCGATTTAGGTTTCATTGTGATTTAAATATAAGAAGCCAGTCTTCAAAACATGACAAGGAATATACTCGTAAAATATTTTCTCATGGATACAACAATTATATTTGTACTCTCACTCAATCGTTTTCATTTAACGAGAACGTTATCAACATATGACTTTGATTAACTCATTCACCCCTGGAGACACATTTGAATCCTTCCAATTCAAAGGTTGGAATATTTCATTATGACATTTCAGGGGTTAATGAGATAAGGGGAAATACATTTTACTTGCGCTTAAAATAAAATAACCAATGTTCCGTTTCATACAGAAGAGAGATAATTTGTTGCTCGCTTGTAGCCATATTACAATTACTGATCACAAAAAAAATGTATAGTAAGCAAAACATATATTACTTATATAATCTATGTCTAAATCAAAGATTTAGTATGAAATACATTAGGACATCCCCCTAGTATTATTTTCCTGAGTATCCTTATTTTTATTGGCTTTACATTTGGACCTATGGATCTGTTATTGAAGAATCGATATTTCAGTTACAAACAGATGTATCAGAATGTAATACACCCTTGCAAATCCGTGGTTCACGATCACTTACGTTCCCTACACACCTGGAATACGCCGTGACAGAATCGGAGGCTAGCTGTTAGCTGTTGCATTTTTTTAAGTGCAACGCCGATCAATATTACTGTAACGCTGCTGGGCGAATCTTTTTGCTGTTACTCAAAGGATCAAACTAATATACTTGTATAATAAATACTGTGACACAATAGAGCCTTCTATTTTGTTAATACATATTCAGGAGGCGTAGAGACAGTATAGAGCGTAACCCCTGAGACGACAAGGTTGAAAAAAGCCTGAGTGCAATGGTTCATATCAGCATATAGTTTACAGAACATATAGATATGTTAATTCAAACAAGAAACGAATCTACATCAGAAAAGCAATTTAACCGTGTTTATGAACTAAAGCGTAATCCTTATTTCACTTTTGATAAAATAATAGGGCACTGAACTCATATAATATTTGTGGAAATAAGGTCCAGGTCTTCAGAAAAAGCCTTCTTGTAGTAATATTATTGACGAGTGTACTCAAAATCATTTGATAAATAGAGGATCTTACATGAGTGTCCGTGTCATACTGAAATTATTAAACATGACGTGGCCACTATGTAAGATTCTCTGTATCACATGACAATCATGTAAAAAAACTTCAAACACAATATTATATATTATCAGCTGACTCCTAATAGGTTAAACCCAAAGTACTCCGAACGTCTGCACTCGTGTATTAGTTTAGTGAAGGGAGGAGTCGCTCGACTTCATATTTTAAGGTAAGAATATATTTTTACATATGATTTGTTGATCAAAACTGAAATACAAAACCAATATATAGTATCTCTGTGTGTAGTGTGATTAATTGTTATATATATGACGATCATCAGCTTCTTACCTGTGTAACTATGGACGAAAACATTACAACAAACAGTCGAAGCTGGTGTCTATCCATGGTGTCACATAGGGTATATGTGTTTAGCTGTGTATTAGATCACTTCCTGTGTCTAAATATATCGAATCAGTCACATACCCAGGGTCGCTTCGTTTTCTTCTAGAGCCAGGGACAAAATATCAACGAGATGTATACACATCGATTTAGGTTTCATTTTGAATTAAATATAAGAAGCCAGTCTTCAAAACATGACAAGGAATATACTCGTAAAATATTTTCTCATGGATACAACAATTATATTTGTACTCTCACTCAATCGTTTTCATTTAACGAGAACGTTATCAACATATGACTTTGATTAACTCATTCACCCCTGGAGACACATTTGAATCCTTCCAATTCAAAGGTTGGAATATTTCATTATGACATTTCAGGGGTTAATGAGATAAGGGGAAATACATTTTACTTGCGCTTAAAATAAAATAACCAATGTTCCGTTTCATACAGAAGAGAGATAATTTGTTGCTCGCTTGTAGCCATATTACAATTACTGATCACAAAAAAAATGTATAGTAAGCAAAACATATATTACTTATATAATCTATGTCTAAATCAAAGATTTAGTATGAAATACATTAGGACATCCCCCTAGTATTATTTTCCTGAGTATCCTTATTTTTATTGGCTTTACATTTGGACCTATGGATCTGTTATTGAAGAATCGATATTTCAGTTACAAACAGATGTATCAGAATGTAATACACCCTTGCAAATCCGTGGTTCACGATCACTTACGTTCCCTACACACCTGGAATACGCCGTGACAGAATCGGAGGCTAGCTGTTAGCTGTTGCATTTTTTTAAGTGCAACGCCGATCAATATTACTGTAACGCTGCTGGGCGAATCTTTTTGCTGTTACTCAAAGGATCAAACTAATATACTTGTATAATAAATACTGTGACACAATAGAGCCTTCTATTTTGTTAATACATATTCAGGAGGCGTAGAGACAGTATAGAGCGTAACCCCTGAGACGACAAGGTTGAAAAAAGCCTGAGTGCAATGGTTCATATCAGCATATAGTTTACAGAACATATAGATATGTTAATTCAAACAAGAAACGAATCTACATCAGAAAAGCAATTTAACCGTGTTTATGAACTAAAGCGTATCATTTGGTATATCAAATAAAAGTAGTTCCTGTAGTGGCGTAGGAATATGTTGCTTTAGGTTTTATAACACGTGTATTACAATGTGCCATATTTATGACATGGCCGTATGACATAGTAAAATGGGTTGGTTAGGCGATAAATGCTTATATGGAATTGTCCTCCGCCATCCTGAACGTTGAAATATGCTTCTTGTAGTATATAAACATTTAACTTATCTGCTATTTTGTGTATGGAAATACAAATATAAAAACTGAAAAATAAACCATACAAATCAAAAAGCTCTTAATTAGTCAGACCCCACAAAAACGAACACGTCGACACCGGTAAATCTCGGCAAAATTCATAAAATGTCACTTCCCCATAACGAGAACCGGGGCAGTAACAACCAAACAACAAGACACACTTATGAGAATAAGAAAAAAAACACTGATTTTTATGTCATAAATTGGAATAGTATACTCTGTAAATTCCAATGAGATCATGATGGCGACCGTCAGCACTCCAGGACGAGATGCATATAATGTCTCCCAAATTGTGTATCGGGAGGTAGATTTTACCACCCCTTTAGATTAGATAAATACTGGTCGTGGCAGTCAAGCATAAAGACACCGTAACAAGAAAAATACCAGTGTGTGGTATGCACGAAACACCCGCGCTAGATAAATATTCAATGAAAAACATAACTCTTCCTGTAATGAATACAAACAATTTTGATATTATAGTTCAAGAGAATGGTTGTATTGTGTAGGTCATTGTCAGTACTGTAGACATAAGGAGATTCGTAAAAGCTAAGTAGCATGTAAAATTACAAACTTATAATGTACTGCGTTTAAATTTCTTAAATCATATTGAGAAGCAACTACAATCTCATCTATAGGAGTGCTAAAATCTGCCTGCTGATACTCATTTATGTTTGAACTACCTGTATATTTTGGAATTTATAGATAGGCATGCAATATGTGTAATACTGTTTCCACAAAAAAATGAAATACGGAGTAAAGAGACATCTAGTTAAATAGACTAATACACTAAATAAACTTAACATTTATACTGCACCGCATTGTCATTTCGTCCATTCAGAAACATTTTAAATTAGTATGCCAATGATCCTATTGCACCCGATAAGAACGTTATATATGTTCAACTTTGGTGACGCATTGAGTATATAATGCTGTCAGGTAGAGTGGTATTCTTCTAACAAACCAACACTTACTTGAATCATACGATTCCAAAAGGGTGATCAATACATTTGTATTCTCCCTGTAGCATAGTTAACGACTAGGCATTATTCCGTTTTCCACTAAATGTTCCACATGTCTTGTCAGCTTTACTTATACACTTTGGTACTATTGTTCTAATGTGAATTGGTATGAATTGTACATCTTTGCCGACTCTCTAATAACGCCATGCACTTTTGTTTTCAAGAACAATGTCTGATGACGAAATCGTTCCATTATTACACGAAGAAAACATTGAACCTGCAAGCAATGTTTGTCACCCAAGTTCAATAAGGCCTCAGAGAAGTTTACCGCCCGGGAAAACGTACCATATCTTCATTTCTTACTCGTCACACGATCAACCGTATGTACTACGTCTGAAAACCGTTTTGGAAGGATTGGGTTTCAAGTGAGTATGTACAATGTACATGAATTTGAAGTGATATAATCCTGCTATATTACACTCATTAATGATTACGCAATATCAAATAAGCTGCGAATATTTTACCGTGAATTAAAATATCCTTAAGTATACACAAAAGTGTACCCTGTACGTTTTTACCTGTTTGATGTTGAAAAAATGGAGATAAATAAATAAAAACCTTCACTGCCAGGGTAGTCATATTTACGGAAAAGCATAAAGGCCAAGTAAAAAAATCAATCAATTTCGTCGTTTTATTGGAACAAACTCGAAATTTCAAGTTAGAATTCAACGTTATTATCTCGCAATTTTGAGTAATTAAGTCGAATTTTCGAGTAATTAACAACGGAATTGGTTTTCTATACTTGTCTCAACTGTTCTTTCGTATGACATATATTTTCAAAAAATGTTAACATGGGTATTACTTAACTGGACCGCTGACAGTGTTAACATGTGTGTTGTTTACCTAGACCACTGACAGTGTTAACATGGGTATTGTTTACCGGGACCACTGACAGTGTTAACATGGGTATTGTTTACCTAGACCACTGACAGTGTTAATATAGGTATTGTTTACCTGGAACACTGACAGCGTTGATATGGGTATTGTTTACCTAGA